CAATTAAAAATTACATGTTTCGACTCGGTGCCAAGGGACACGGGTGGTGCTGTGGGTTGAACCACAGAGCCTAGGACTTGCTGATCAGAAGGTCGGCGGTTCGAATCCCCGCGACGGGGTGAGCTCCCATTGCTCGGTCCCAGCTCCTGCCCACCTAGCAGTTCGAAAGCACCTCAAAGTGCAAGTAGATAAATAGGTACCGCTCCGGCAAGAAGGTAAACGGCGTTTCCGTGCGCTGCTCTGGTTCGCCAGAAGCGGCTTAGTCATGCTGGCCACATGATCTGGAAGCTGTACGCCGGCTCCCTCGGCCAGTAAAGCGAGATGAGTGCTGCAACCCCACAGTCGGCCACGACTGGACCTAATGGTCAGGGGTCCCTTTACCTTTACTCGGTGCCAAGAGCTCCCCAGTGCCAGGTGCCAGCCTAATCCCCAGGGGGAAAGTGTTTCCATGACCCAGGTGCTACCACCGAGAAGGCCCTGCTTCGAGGTATGGATTTCAGTGAGCAATGGTTTGGCCAGAAAGTCTTTCCCGAATCTTTTCTTGGTGGCTTCTCTGATGTATTGCTCTGCATTTGGGGTTTTCAGTCTTGTACATACGTTTTTCTTTTAAAAATCACTTTGCTAAGTTTTCAGGACCATAACATCTCACGCTGCTGTACCAGTTAGCACTCGCACGGGTGCCTTCTACGCTCTGTGATCGCCACAACACCTTCAAGGGCTGCCCCATGTAGACTGCATTGCAGTAATGAAGCATGGGGGTCGGAAACTATCTCCAGGCCAGATCTTCTCCCCCCAGGCCAGAACCGGCCTTGTCCCACACCCTCCTTGAGGGTTTTTGCCTGGACAGATAAGGCCCTTTCTGTGGCTGGACAGAGAAGGAAGGAATGGAATTGGACTAGATGATTTGGTGGATGATGGACTATATGGAATTTGCAGAACTGACCGGGAGACTCCGAGACCAGAGAGAAGAGACGGTGGAAGAAGATTGGAAAAAGTTTAAAGAATATCTGAAAAAATATGTTAATATTTAAATCTTAGAATAGCTTTGGAAGTGGATATAGGCTGTAGGGTTAGAAGTAGAAGATAGTGTATTTTAAAACAGTATTATTTGTAAGTGATAAAATGTGAAGATTTTTATGGTAAAAGTAAGTGTGATTTTAAAAAAATGGTTAAAAATTATGATATATGTAAACTGCTAAAGATGAGGTAAAATGAAAATCCGATAGGGGGGACTAGGGGAAGCTCACCTAACAATGTTTAGAAAAAATAAGGATAAGATAAGAATTTGTTTGTATTGTTTGTTTTTCTGTTTGTGTTGTTTAGTTGTGTTATAAAATGAATTAAATTTTTTTGGGAAAAAATAGATGATTTGCTTGCCTTACAAGTCTGCAATTCTATGAAGGGTGAATGCAAGTTAATAATAATAATAATAATAATAATAATAATAATAATAATAGAAACAGTCTCCCTTGGAAGGTGGTGGGCTCTCCTTCCTTGGAGGTAAATAATCTGTCAAGGATTATTTAGTTGTGACTCCTGCATTTCAGGGGGTTGGACTAGATAACCTTTGGAGGTCCCTTCCAACTCTACGATTCTGTTCTATGATTAGGCTGAACCTCCAAACCCAGGACCTAAAAATTACAAGCGGTCCCTGTTAAACGGATTTGTGCTGTTCAGATATACATGGCAGGTGTTTCCGTTTTCCACCTCAGCCCTCAATCATTTCAGGAGATGCCGCCATAAAGGAAATTGTTCCGTGGGTTTGCGGGTGGGGGAATTTTCTTGCTACAAGTCAGGGGAACTTGCTGGAGGCCCAACTCTGCGGAAGAGATCTTCCTCTGATTGCAGGTGGCATCGGGAGTGTTGCTCATCCCTCGATTTAGCTATTTCACCTTGTGCTATATAGAAACTCTTAGTCACCCTCAACGCAGAGAATCCCTGGTGATGTAACTGCCGTATCTGGCAAAGGAGAGTGGAAGACTCAGGGAAAGTCTAGGCATAAGGTTACCAGACGTCCCCGTTTCCCGGGGACAGTCCCCGGATTTACACATCAGTCCCCATACAAAATCCATTGAAGTTGAAAAGTGGATTCATTGAAAAAAATCTGGTAACCTTAGTGTGGGGGAGTAGCTTTCTCACACTAGCCAAGCCATCGCTTTTGCCTCGAGTGCAAAGTGCAGGGGCCGTGAGGGGTTCAGGAAATTCACCCTGCCTGGCTCTTCCTAACTTCTCAGGGCAAGGCTTCTGGAGAATTCACACCCATGACTTTCCCCCTGCAATCACAAAATATCAGTTCACAGGACAGGAGAGGAGACAACATAGGCAAGATTTTTCCCTGGAAAAGAAAGCTGTAAATGACAGATCTGTTCCCTTTTAATGGTACCGCATAGTTCAAGCTATGGTTTTCCCAGTAGTGATGTATGGAAGTGAGAGCTGGACCATAAAGAAGGCTGATCTCCGAAGAATTGATGCTTTTGAATTCTGGTGCTGGAGGAGACTCTTGAGAGTCCCATGGACCGCAAGAAGATCAAACTGACCCATTCTGAAGGAAATCAGCCCTGAGTGCTCACTGGAAGGACAGATCCTGAAGCTGAGGCTCCAAGACTTTGGCCACCTCATGAAAAGAGAAGGCTCCCTGGAAAAGACCCTGATGTTGGGGAAGATGGAGGGCACAAGGAGAAGGGGACAATAGAGGACGAGATGGTGGGACAGTGTTCTCCAAGCTACCAGCATGAGTTGGACCAAACTGCGGGAGGCAGTGGAAGACAGGAGTGCCTGGCGTTCTCTGGTTCAGGGGGTCACGAAGAGTTGGACACGACTAAACGACTAAATAACAGCAACGAAGTCCAGTATGTGCAACATATACAGTTTATATGTATGGTGTCATATTTTTCCATGCTGGGAGGAGCGTCACCAGTTGGATTTCTGCCTGTTGCGCAGAACAGAAAAGGCAGCAACCACCTGACTTATTCCAGACAACGCATCACCATAGAGAGAAAGTGGACTCCTCTCCTTGTTCTTGTTAAAGCCTTTTTTAACTTCCCACCCCAAACCTTTATTCCTGCTTCCAAAACCTAAAAGAGAGAATAGACCCCTGCCCCTTTAAGGGCTTAGCCACGCCCTTTGCCTCCCTCGGCTCCGCCTCCCCTTGTTCCCCCGCCCCCTTCCTCCTCCGCGATTGGTGGCCGCGTGCGGCCTGAGGCGCCAATGGCGGGTGGATTCCAAGAGCGGCGTGGGCGGGCGCAAGGCCTGCCAATCAAGGAGACAAAGACGGAAAGGTCCCGGTTTCCGGCCTTTCTGCGTGCGCAGCTCGGCGGCGCCCACAGAGAGACGAAAGTGTAGAGGTGCCGCTTGCTGAGCGGGGCTGCATTCGGGGGTCCTGGAGGGACCGAAGCGCACCTGGGCTGCACGCCGGGGAAGAGGTTATTGCTGCTGCGATTGCTGCCTTTTCCGTTTCATGACCCCCATCCCACAAAAAAGGACTCGGGCAAGAGTGTGCATGGTTGCCTCCTTTGCACTCACAACAACCCCGCGAGGTAGGTTAGACCGAGAGGCGCTGGTCCAAGTGAGCTTTATGGCGAGGGGGTGGGGGAGGAAATGGGCTGGGGGTGGAAACCCAGCCAGATGGGCCGGGTATAAATAATAATAATTATTATTATTAATTAGACGGGGTCTGCATGCCAATGTGCCCTGTATGTTTGTTGAATATATGGGAAATAATTGTATGCAGCTGAAAAGGCTGGCGGCATTGAGATAAATTCAACTGGGTAAACGAGTTTTTATGGATGCAAGAAAGGGATACTGAATGGGATAGTTTGGGTAAAATATGCAGGGGTTTATGATATGTAAAATGAACCATGGAAAGGCTATATGTATGTGTGTGTTTATATATATGTATGTGTGTGTGTGTATATATCTATCTATCTATCTATATATATATGTTGTGTGTGTGTGTGTGTGTATATATATATATATATATATATATATGGGGATATGCTGGTTGGGGTGCAATCGGATTGACTTTTGCTGCACCCAGACTCACATTTTTTGCAGATTCCCCCCCCTTTTTTAAGGGCTGGGATCCTAAAGCAGAGGAGCAGGAGGCGGCATTCTCATCACTTTGCGTTTCAAAGCTATGTTAAACAAAAGCTCAGTGGCAGAGCATCTGCTTTGCATGCGACCCCTGGCATCTCTCAGTAGGGCTGGGAGAGATCCCTACCTGCAATAATACTTCACAGATGCTGCCAGCCCTGGGCTGAGCTAACGGGCCAAGGATCTCACTTGGCACAAGGAAGCTTCCTGTTCTTCTGTTTGAGAGGGGCTGCAGTTCCGTGGCGGCAGGACACCTGCTTCGCATGCAGAAGGATCCCCGGTTCGGTTTGTGGCGCCTCCGGTCCAGTTCAAAGTTCCTGTGGTGCAGTGGGTCAGTGAGCCTGGCTGTTAATCAGAAAGTTGGTGGTTCGAACCCACCCAGGGATGGCTGTAGCAGGATTCCTGCATTGCTGGGGGTTGGACTAGATGATGATGATGATGATGATAATAAATAATTATTTATACCCCGCCCATCTGGCTGGGTTTCCCCAGCCACTCTGGGCGGCTCCCAACAGAATATTAAAAACACGATAAAACATAACTCCTTATTTCTATCGTTTGTGTCTTGCTCATGCATAAGCACCAACAGAGGCTGTTGCTGAGCTCAACAGGGGATAGCAGATCATCTTGGTTTTCTAGCAATGAAGCCACCTGTTTTGGAAAGCCACTTGCCGCTTGCAGGACACATGGACCACCTTCTCCCTTGTACTGAATTCTGGGGACTTGTGTCTTTCCTTCTGGTTTCCAGCCGAAAGGCCTGAGTGTGATTGGCTGACCCCTTGGTCAGCCAGGAATCTGCCTCCTCCTTCCCTCTCCCCTTTTCTCCAGACTGTTTTTTCCCCGATGATGAAAAGGAGGCCTTAAAATAAAGGAGCTGATAGACAAGGCAGCTGCGGAAGAGGAGAGCGATGGGTGGAGAGGCGAGCAGGAAGAGGCATTTGGAATTCAGTGCGGCGGCTGCGCATGCGTCGGATGAGGAGCAAAGGATGTGGGGGAGTGGAGTTGACCCCATAGAGGAAAACTCAGCACCTGCTCTTGATCGGAGGTAGGTCTCTGTGCACTCATGTGTCTGATAGTTATGGATCTAGGTCGGCCTTGGCCAAGCTGCTGCCCTCAAGATGCATGCATGTGTTTGTGTACAGGAGTTCAAGTGCAAGGTGATTTTACAAAATAAATCGTAATGGCTCATCCAGGGCTGGTGCAAACATCCCCCCAGCGCCCCCAAATTTAGTTTAGCCCCCAAATTAACTTTTATTATGCTCATGTCAGACACCACGCTTACACCTTTTCTCTTGTTTACGAAAGGAGGAAAAATAAACTTTTTTATTTGCGTTTTCATTTACAATACACTTATACTTAAGTATACAACACCACCACACTTAAACTTATAAGTATTGTTTAGGCCACCTACTTAGGAGAAACATCGGTTGTGTCAAAGGCGGCACTGACCCTGCTGCCGCATAGCAGCTCAATACAATACGTAACATAATATTTTGATGTAAGAGTAAATTTCACGTGCACGGCGTCGTTGAGAATGACAAGCACCGTCGTTGAGTCTGACAAGCGCTGCTGCTGGCGAAACAAGTCTTTGGTAAATGAGCGCACAAAGTCAAAAGTCCTTTAGTGAAACAGTAGGTATACATTTCGATAATACCTAGGTATATATGTATTTTGTTTTTCTAGCTTGATCAAAATTATTTATTATTTCACAACGGGTAGATAGTTAAGAGCTTAGGCGGCTTCAGTGGCTGGCACCCCCCAGAATTTGGCGCCCGGGTTCCCCGCACCCCTTGCACCCCTGGGGAAAGACGGCTCTGGGCTCATCCATCCTGCATATTTAAGCTCCTTGTTCCATAAGAAAATGCCAGCGGGTTTTTCCTCCTTGTTCTTTACCTAAAGAGTTATGTTGCCAAACTTCTGTCGGCAGCCAGGAAGATGAACAGCAGCCACGGTGGAGAGGAACCAGCCTGGGGAATGGAGAAGGCCTCCTGCAGCAGAATGGGTAGGCTCAAGTGCAACGAAGCGCTGTGTTTTGTTCATTTTGGTGAAGGCAAATGCTCCTATGGAACTCCCTCCCACAAGAGGCAGGGATGGTCAATTCATTATGGATCATTTCCCAGTACTCTTTTACCCTTTTAAATGAAAAAAATGTTTTAAAGTACTCCCCCCCCCCCCAAAAAAACGGAGTCCGTTCTGTTGGGGATAATCCAGACGGAAATTCCCAGGTGTCAATACAGGTTATTTATGTATGCTACTACTGCGGCCGGTGTTTTGTTAGCCCCAAAATGGAAAATGAGCGAGGTCCCAACCAAAGAATGGCAACTTAAGTTGACAGGATATGCACAACTTGCAGACTTAACACATAGAATAAGAGAACAAGAAGAATATAACCTTTAAAGATTGGGAAATGTTTATGGAAATAATTGTAAACAGCTGAAAACGCTGGCAGCATTAAGATAAATTCAACAGTGTAAACAAATTTTTGAATGAGTATTTTAAATTGTAAAACAGAAAATTAATTTTTTTATATATAATACTGGAGGAAGTGATGGCCACCAACTTGGATGGCTTAAAACGAGGCAAATTCATAGAGGAGAGGGCTACCCGTGTATCCCGTTGGAAGCAATCCAGTCTGAATACCCATTGCTTGAGGTCACAGGAGAGGAGAGGGCTCTTGTTTTCGAATCCTGCTTGCAGGAAGTTTCCTATGGACATCTGTTTGACCACGGTGAGAACAGGATGCCATTTTGCTCTGATCCAGGAGGGCAGTGTTTATGTTCTTTTGTTAGGGCTGGTCATTTATTAGTTTTATGCACCTGATTCCTTCTTCTTATGAAAACTAATTTGCAGTCCTCATGCAGATTGTCGGAACAAGATGGACGGGGTATAAATAATACATTATTATTATATAGTGACTTTGTGAAAGCTTGGGCAGTATGTGATTGTTTCTTGGAGATGACATAAGGGGATTGTGAAACTAAATGGGTTAAAAAGATGTAGGACCACGGTGGAAATGATGCAAAGGAGTGTGGAGATTTAGCTCTTTGGTGCTCTTGGAGTGAGTGGTTCTCTTGTGACTATTTGAACCCCTTCAGGTTTGAATTTTAGTGATGGGGAAGTTTAACTTAGGTAAAAAAGGTAAAGGACCCCTGGACAGTTAAGTCCAGTCAAAGGCGACTATGGGATTGCAGCACTCATCTCACTTTCAGGCTGAGGGAGCTGTTAACCTTCCCGCCACAGCGATACCTATTTATCTACTTGCACTGGCATGCTTTCGAACTTCTAGGTTGGCAGGAGCTGGGACAGAGCAACGGGAGCTCACCCCATCGCGGGGATTTGAACTGCCAACCTTCCGATCAGCAAGCCCAATAGGCTGCGTCCCCCTGAAGTTTAACTTACTGAATGTGGCATGATGCTTTCTGGTTTTCTGTTTCTAATCTTATCAGCACATGGACAAATCCTGGTCGAGGTGACTCCACCATGATGAACAACCCTGCTAACGTCAGTGTGGACGAACCTGTACAAAAATTAGCTGGGAGAAAGGAGGGACAAAGGGCTCTTCCGTTTGATGGCTCCAATGAAGTTTTGATAGGTAAATCCTTTAAAAAAAGGGGGACGGGCAACAGTCCCAGAGCAGAAGCTTTGAAAGGATGTGGTTGAGGCAGGTGAGCAGGAGGGATTAAGGTCACAGTAATTTGATGGCATTCAAAGTTATCTCCACAGGCATGCAGTCTCCGCTACTGTGGTTTCCAGTAACTGGTATTCACAGGGATACCCTGAATTCAGACCCCTTGCTCCCCTTACAGAACTAACAGTTTCCAGGTAGCTAACTCGCTTAAGGCGGTAATCACACATGCCCTGACTAAGCTGTAAGTTCTACTAAGATCATTAGGACTTCTCTTTGAGTAGATCAGCTTAGTGTTGCACAGTAAGACCACTGGTACTATTTTGCAGGTGGAATTCAGTGGTATATATTGGCGAATTCAGATTGGGGAATTAAAATGACTTCGTTGGTCTTGCACAGCAAACCTGGCACCCAAAAGCATTTAAAAAAAAAATCAAACTTTTTTGTGGTAAGGACTTTGGAGATGGGGAAATGCAGTGGGAAGTGTGGGATAACTGATGCTTTTCATGACATGAATGCTCAGTAAACAGTGAACATAGCCTCCACAAACTTTGTGTAGGCAAATTAAGATGAAACACTCAATAAACATGCCAACTGGAAGCAACCACAGTCCGTAATGTGCCTTGGGAACTAATGCCGAGCCTGAGGATGTGGGTGGTATCTGAGTCATGCTATTTTGCACATGCAAAAGCTGGCAAAATCACATGCAAAGGCACCACATGGCAGAATACACACCTGCAGAGTCTTGTAGTCACTTTTCTTTTCCCCCAAATGCCTCTCTTCCTGGCCCTGAGGCCCTGTTGCCTCTCTGTAGAATGGAAGTTCAGGTTGTAAGAGAGCAGGAGCTGCAATTTTTGCATCTCTGTGGCTTGGGGATTTGTCTGGTTGCATTGGGAGAGTGGGTGCAGCACTGAATGAATGAATGAATGAATCAATCAATCAATCAATCAATGGGGAAATGAAGATTATAAGGAACCGATGCTATCAAGCATTTGCTGTCAGAGCCTTCAGCTTCTGAACTCACTTTGAGGATACCGTTTGTCACACAAAGACACAGAGATGTGTGGGGCACGATTCATGGACAAGCAGTACAATCCTGAATAAATGGATGAGATTAAGACTCCATCCATACCTCGGTTTATAGTGGATTGTGAACCCTGTGTCACCATTAATTCCCCCTTGTCTATGCGGTGTTCTCCTTCAACCACAGCTGCTTGAATCCTGCTTGCAGGTTTCCCAGAAGAGACATTTGGATTAGATGGGACATTGCCCTGAACCACTAGGCTGGTCTCACGTTTAACATCACCTGCCCACTGTGACCTCTAATCTTTGTGAGGAGATAATTGAGACCAACACCTCCATGCCTGTGTTCTTGACTTCTGAAAGGCACCCAGCTAATTACTGTTCATTCACTTTGGCCCAATCCAAGAAGGCAGTTCCAGTTTCCTTATTGGGCTGCCAGGTGAGGCATTCCTTTCCTCGTGCTGTTTCTTATGCCCTCCATGTAAGAAATAGCCTGTGTCTGCAGCCTCAAGGTTTCGGTAGCTGAATCGCCTCTTGCGTCGTAGCCTGAATCTGTCCTTGTCCCACAGGAGATCCCCCACCTGTGATGGCCAAGTCGTTGGAAGCCCAGACGGAAGAAAGATTTGAGTGGAGCAGCCTGGATGGTTGGCTTAGACACAGAGCTGACGATGGGATGCAGTCCCTCAGCAAAGGCACCCAGACAGAAGGTAACTCAAGGCGTTGCAACTGATATTAGCCGGGAATAGCCACGCAAGCTGGGGTTAATTCAGGGTGCAAGGGCTTCCTTTGGGCGGCTGACTCTTCCTTCCTAGGGAAGCATGAGAATCATGTTTATTAAGGGCATAACCCTCTGATGGATGCTGTGCAAAAGATGAAACAGGTCCCTGCCAGAATGGCGCAACAGGTTCGGGGCAGGACAAAGCACAGACTTCAGTAAATGAAATATTCACTTGCTGTTAAGCAAAGCAAACTTATGCATTTTTTTGCAGTAGGCCAAAGCCTGGACCCTCCTTCTGGTACATGACAAAGACTTGGGAAGAGGGCTGTTGTGATTGAATCCTGCTTCCCAAAGGCATCTGGTTGGCCGATGAGAGAACAGGAGGTTGGAGCAGATGGGCCGCTGGTCTGATCCAGCAAGCTCTTCTGATTTTCTTATGCACTGCAAAGTGCGGGAAGACTGTTGCTTGACGCAATGTTGTCTGCCCTCCCTGCAGACACGGCAGAATGAGTTCTGGTTAAATGTCGTAGTCTATTATTCCCTGCAAACAAATCATATGCTCAGTAAACAAGTTGTCTGGAAGCGACCTTGATCTTCAGAGATGGATCCTTGCAGATCCAGAGTAATTAATTTTCCTTCATTGCAGTGCTGCAGTGGAGGGAAGGGAGAGAGTTGACTCTTTCCTTTTGATCTCCAAGGATTGTGCCCAGTCTTATTTGTGACGGTGCACAGAAGCGATTCCTGTTAAACTCTGACTGTTCTATAGGAGATTGAAGGTGGTTTCTGACTCCCGGTAGTTTAAGAATAGCAAGGAAACTTACAGGCAAAATAAATTATCTGCCGTGTGCTTATTTCTTATCTTTCAGCTTCAATGCTCTCCACCCATCCAATAACGATATTAATTGGTTGCCTGTGCCTGTGCCCTTGAGCAGATCTGCTGGCTGCTTGTAGGGTTTTATGTGAGGGTCCCAGATCTATAGTGTAGCCTTCGCAACCTGGCACCCTCCAGAAACCTTGGACTACAACTCCCACCAGTTGTAGTCCAAAACATCTGGAGGGCACCAGATTGGGGAAGGCTGCTGTAGTAACTCAGACATAGATTTCGACTTGCATATCCCAGTGAATGGCTCACTGGTGTGTGTGTGGGGAGTGGACTAGGCCATTGGCCCCACCCCCTTTGAGCCTGCATTTTGCACCTGGCGCCGGGGGATAAACCTCGAGGGTTCTAATAAGTGATAAAAATAGGTCTCGCAACTTGGAAGGCTGCCAGGCTGTGTGAATCAGAATGTGACCTCTTTCTCCCCGAGTGGCAAAGGGAACTGCTTCGGCCCTGGGAAGTGGAACTTTCTGGCAGTGCATGAGAACGGAAGGAAGTGGGCCCCAGGCCTCTGAACTGGAACGTGAAGAGGAAGTGAAAGAGCTGGCAACCTTTTTGTGCCCCTCTTCTTTTTTTAGCATGTCTGAGGGTCTTTTTGCTTGAGAGCCCACTTCTCTGCCAGAGACTTGTGGATCCTTGCCACATCTGGAGCCGGGGAAGGGCTAGGCTCTGTGCCTGCTACCATAGGGTCTGGAAGATAAAAGGTCTGCAGTCCCTTGTGCAGGTGCTGGCTGCATTTTGCATGTTTTTCTGCCTGTGAAACTCCCCCTCCTCTTCATTGGTTGAGAGGAGGAAGATGCAAGCAAGGCCTGGAGGATATGAATGGCAAAAGACTTTATTTTTATTATTCCATTTCATCTATATCCCACCTTTCCTCTAAGGCAAGGCAGCTTACATAGTTCTCCCTCTTTCATCTTCACAACAACCCTGTGAGGTAGGCTAGGCCCAACGTCACCCAGGGAGCTTTGTGTCTGAGTGGGGATTTGAACCCTGGTTCCCAGGTCCTAGTCTGACACTATAACCACTAAATCACCTACTCTTAAGCAGACTTGGAACTCTTCCATGATTCCTGCAACTATTCGGTGTTACACTAGGCTATCTTATTGCCAGGAGCTCTGCCTGGTCTCCTCTGCTTTCTTGCACCCACAACTGGCCCAGGAGATATTTTGCTGCCAGAGGTGAAGGGCCACCATTCCATCTTCAAAAGCCGACTGGATTGGCACTTGATTCTTCCTTTAGCACTAGCTCATAGCTGTCCACTTTTCCCTTTTCTTGTGAGGAATCCTATTCAGAATAAGGGAATTTCCCTTGAAAAAAGGGAAATGTTGACAGCTATGCACTAGCTATGGGGCATCTTCATTGCATCTGAACTGAAAGCAGGAGGCTAGCTCAGGGTTTCTCCAGGAATTGTGGTCCCCCCCAGGTGTATTCTGCAACACATCACTGATGTAAAAATAGTGCATTTAGAGCGGATTTATACTGGACCGTCCAGACGTCATTCCGCTTTGTTAGTTGCTCAGCGATGCTTCTCCAATGTTATGCTATCTGGAGGGTCACCCTTGCACCACAGCAAGACAAAAGGAGGACAAACATGGCAGAACATTTGCTGTACAAAAAGTTGCAGGATTTCAGCTGCAGGCCATGTGCTGCTTGGAAATGAAGCAGCGTGCCTGCCCCGAAACCTTTGCAGGTGCAAACAGTATTGATGATGGGGTTGCAAATAACCACCGCTCATACCATCATGAGCAGAAATACTCTTGAATGGACAATACAAGGGGATGTCAGGAGGGTCCTTGAGAAGCCCAGAGCAACCCATGTAGCACACTTGGCTCAGACCGCCTTGTTTCCCTCGTTGTCTGAAGCGGCTGCTTCACTCCCTGATGGTAGGGCCAGCCCTATTCACACCACACCCTTTCCTGTTGTGTTTTCAACTGTGTCAGGCTGAACTGCACAGTTTCACAGGAAGCCAAATGCTGTGCTGGTTTCTGCCCTGGCTTGCAGAGGGACATCCCTGGCAGCAAGAGTGGGTTTTTAGGAAGAGGAAAGCAAGGTGTTGTTTGAAATTGCATCACAATCGTGTGGGTTCCCTCGGGGCTTCTTCTGATGTAATGGGAACACTTTGAAATGATTCCTGCTGATAACTGCATGCAGAAAATGTGACATGTGTATTGGAAATGCTGGAAGCCAGAGAGCAAAATGTAAGCTCGTCATGAGAGAACAGAAAATGCTCCGATCTGAACCTGCGTGTGAAGGGTTTGCAGCTCCTCTTCAACTATTTTTCCACCCAAAGAGCCCAAAGCCCAAGTGCCTTTTATGATGATGGTTTATTTATTTATTTCTTACTTATACCCAGCCCATCTGAGTGGGTTGCCCCAGCCATTCTGGGCGGCTTCCAACAAAAACACAGGGGAATAAAGGAGTCTAAAAGGATATTAAGCAGGTTAACTCCTGGGACTAAACACTCCTTCAGTTCAAGGCAGCTGACAAAAATAATATAGGTGCCACACAAGACCTGTTCCACATTTGTAAGAACTTGATCTTTGGAACTTGCCACATATTGACATCAGGCAGGCGACTTCACTATGCTCTTTTCAGCGCCTGCTAAAAACATTTTTGTTTAGACAGGCCTACCCAGATGCCTAGAACACTGATGTGTTTGTAGCTTATTGCTGCTTCTATTGTTTTTAGTTTATTGTTGACTTTATTGTTTTAAATAGTTGTTTTAATTATTCTATAAAATTGTATATCCTTTTTGCAAACTGCTTTGAGTTTTTTTTATAATCAAGTGGTATATAAATTTTATGAAATAAATCAATAATAAAAATACAGCAAAAACAATCAAACTGTGTGGGGGAGAGAGAGGAAGGGAGGGAGGGAAGGAAGGAAGGGACAAGCAGCAGATGAAAAGCCAGTGGATCATAAAAATTAAACAAGCAGCACTTGCAATAAAAATCAGAGACAATTCTAAGCCAGAAAAGGTACAACTAGCCTCTAAAGCAGGATGACTAACTCTTTTCCAGGCAAGGGGGATGCACTGACTTATGGTCAACTTTCCTTGTGCCACTTTTTAAAGGGGGTATAGTTGAAGTGCAAGAACATGGGAGTGGGCAGTAAAATAGGGATTTTGAGAATATAAATATTGTTATATAAAAATTGACAAATTTTGGGGGCTCTTGGCGGTCAACTTTGGGCAGACCTTGCCCCTCCCCCCCAACCTTTTGGCATCATAGTGTTGCAGTGAAGGGACCTAGAGGCACAATACAAAAAAAAGTTTCAATTTGAGGAGGCCTTGAGGGCCCACAAAAAACCTTGGAGGTGGGAACTCACATACATATCGGTTAGTTACCCTTGTGTTTTTTATTGTGTGCTGAAATGTCAACCTTCCTACTGCAAGGGAGTTGTTTGCGCTGCTAGTTTAGCTTAGCTGTTACTTGTAGCCTGTCGTAATAATAGAACACGCCTGTTAGTAACCTTATGCAAACAGATGCATTCTGTGGATCAGGATAACAAGTAGAGAACGGCCGCTGTCTTTTCCACATCTGCTTTTCAGTGAAGTTGCTGTGATGTACTACTTGTTATCTGTCTCTCTTTTGCCACAAGAGGGCAACCTCTGCTATGTTAATAGCAATTGCTGGGCTTGAGTATGGACCTGAATGCAAGGCACCGTACCCTGTGTCCTCCTTCCAGATGGAATGTTTTTAATGCTCAAGTGCATCCTTTTAATTTTTTGACGTTTCAGCCACGTGTACAGACAATGAAGATCGACATTATTTCCAGCCTAGAAGAGATCAGGATACAGTCTACATGTTGAAGGTGGCTGAAAGGTAACTAGCATATGTAAAACTGAGGAAGGAAGATGCCCCCAGTGTGAGAACAGGATGCTGGAACTAGATGGGCCTTTGGTCTGTTTCATTAGAGATGTCCTTCTGTCCATTGGTCCAGCTATCTCAGTATTGCCTACACTGATGCAGCGACTTTCCAGCGTTTCAAGCAGTGCTTTTTTCTGGGGGGGACGCAGGGGTACACATAGTGTAGGGCCATAGCAAACCCCCCCAAATGCCGTCAGGAGAACAAGGCTGGCATTGATGGAACAGGCTCAAATGTTTATTATTCAAGGTTCTAAAGAGATAAGCAGACTCAGGAATGCACATTGCCGTGGTGTGGTGAGGCTGGTGGGGCCATTGCAGGAAGGAAGGGGGGCAAGCCCATGTAAGGACATAGGAAGTTGCTATAACTTTCGATTTCCCAGAAATCAGGTGGTACTGTATTCTGCAAATGTATAAAAAGGGGGCGCACCCTGACTGGGGTGTGCAGATTGCAAACTCATTGCTCTGTACCTTTGTTCTGCATATGCATTTCAAATAAATCCTGTTAAATCCTGCAAGGTTGGTTGCCACTTCGTGTGAATCTGTGCTCCGAGGACCCAATAGCGGATATGGAAAATGGCCAACATTTCCCCTAAACATTTTGTGAATCTTTGTACTTTTGTCCATTTACTGTTTTTATTTTCCCCAATTTGAACTATAAAATGGTGATTTTCTTGAGTCGAGAGTACCCCTAAACATTTTTTTAAGGAAAAAAAGCACTGGTTCCAGGCAAGAGTCCTTCCCAGCCCTACCTGTAGACTGAACCTGAGATTTTTGGCATGCAAAACAGGGTGCTGTGCCACTGACTTATGCCCTTTAAATAACAACCCTGAGCGCAGCCATAGCCTATTGCCTCTGGGATGGTGTATAATGGCTCAGAAAGGAAGGAAATCCCAGCAAAGCCTACTGTTCTTTCTTGCCAGGCTTTGAAGCTCTCTCTCTCTCTTTCCCCCCTCTCCCTCTTCCTTTGCCCCACAATTTTGGACAGTGCTGAGAAGACGATTCAGCAAGGCTTGAGAGAATTATTTGGTGCCCTGAAGATCCTTGTTAATGTACCCATCATTTTCACAGTAGAGTTGATCCATTTTCTCAACAAATCCATATTCCAGGTGAGAGGACTCTACCTCAACTCTGCATTGGCTCTTAATTCAGAAATGGGCATTTCCTTGCCAAAAAGCCGGGGGGGGGGGTTAGGCATATGTTTTTGACTGCTTAGAAATGTGAACCTTTCTTCTGCTTTCAACGGCTGCATTTCCTCAGGGGTGATTTCTTGGCAGCTGCACACTAGGTGAGGTCAGAGCAGTAGGTGGGTGGGACACTCTTCCTGCCCCCTACTTTCCTCTCCAGTTCTCTCCCCTTCTTGCTGCCACATGAGATTAGATTGCCCACCTCTGGTTTAAAAAACACCTCTGTTTTAAGCATAGATTGTTATGTAACAGAATACTAAATTTGGATGTATTCAGGAGCCAAGGACATTCTCCTTCCACCACTGCAGCTTCTCATTCTGCTTCACACAAATAGGACAGGGGTCTCTCTCCCCCCAAGATCTTTCCCATCATCCCTACTGTCTTCTGGTATTTTCATTTTCTTCCCCATCCCAACATAAGACTAAGATCAGAGTAACCTTTTGGTTGATCAAATCATCCTGATTTGTTTGAATTATGTTTGCCAGGAGGTTAGATGTCAGCTGCTCATATTTGTTTCAATTACAATGTACATCAGGCATTGATCATCCCATGCTTTCCAGCACATTTCCCCATCACTTTCCATACTGCAAAACTCAGGGTGGGGGAGCTCGGATACAGGTTTGTTGCCCAAGAATGCCAAATCCATGTTAATGGTGAAGTGCCCATGACTGAATCCCATCCACAAAACAGCAAGAGGTGCTTCTAGCCTTAAAGTATTTTTATTGCTTCTTTATTTTCTCTGGCAGGATTGCAGTGCCCAGTGACTTTGAAATTAAACATAATGAAGTGGCCATTATGTAGTCTGAAAGTATTTTTCGTTTCTTTTACAACTCATTTTTCTACTATCCAGGTAGTGTCCTTTACTGCCTTGAAATTCATAGTCTACTGTGAGAATGAGTTTCAAATGAGTATACAACCAGAGTAAGATTTAAAAACCCCTAAAGAACAAGGCTCCAAAGTGACTAGCTTCACCCCATATTCCACCATGACCTCAAATATCTTGAGGTTTGCCATCTCTCTGCCAAGTTTGGACTGCAAGGAGGGCCATACGAAAAGGTCTTCTCAGAGGTGGCTTTTTCTATAAAATAGCTTTCTCCTGGAGACCCAAGTCTCTCCCATGAACAAGGCAGCGTTTAAATTTTTATTTAGTTTATGGTGGCCAGAAAGGAAAGTTTTTTGTTCTTTTCATCTGTTACAAATTCTAGGCTTTTAATTATTTTACTCCTTATACCTATGCTGTTTTGGAGGTTTTGATACTTGACCCATCTGTTGACACTCCTTGTTTTGGGACATCTTTGATGTGATGCACAAGTGTCCATTAGGTGAGGTAGGACATGTGTGTCAAGGATCCAGTCTTGAGGTATTCAGTTGCACAGTTAATGTCTTTTGCAAGAAACAGCTGCTTCTGACGGTGCCCTTCTCTTCATTCAGGTGTTGGTGGTTGACCTCTTAACTACAATGGGAGACAAAATGCTGGAACCCTTCCTAGTTGCTTTGTTCAACAGCATCCTGCAGCCCCTGCTGAAATTCCTCCTGAATGTCCTCTGCAGTATCCGTAACCTCAGCTACCCTTTATTGGACATCCTGAAGGGCATCTGTTTGCAGGTTGCTCTGGTGCTGCGAGCTTTCCGGTTGGTAGAAATCAACAACCATCAAAATAAGTTGCTTGCTGAAAAGGTCTAGTGGAGAGGAACAACTATCCAAAGTGGTGATTGACACGACTGAGGGCATCTGCAATCAGTTTCCTTAACTAGCCTCTAGTTCGGGTGAGAACTGGGGATGCTTTGTGGCTGGTTCCTCTGTTCAGGTCAGTGGTGCTCAACGTGTTACACTCACCTTCTAGGCTGAAAGCAAAGAGTAAGGTTACCCTAACTTCTGTCATAGAGCTTCAATATACTGATGACAACGTCGTATGTGCACACTCAGAGGATGACCTCCAAACCATCCTAAATATCTTTGCAGAAGCTTATGAAAAGCTTTGCATATTGTTCAACATCCAAAAAAGCAAAGTGCTGCCCCAACAAGTGCAAAACAACCCCTCTGCAGTGCCACAAATCCAACTCAACGGTGTAACATTGGAAAGCGTCGATCACCTCTCCTACCTTGGCAGTTATCTTTCCACAAGGGCCGACACTGATGCCGAAATCAAGCATCGTCTGAGCTCTGCGAGTGCAGCTTTCTCTTGATTTGAAGCGCAGGGTTTGAGGACCAGAACATTTATCTTCAAGGAGAAAGTGTGCAATTTGTGGGTGCTCTTAAATTCAGCTTTGTCATGGCAGGCACAAGTGTCCTTTGTGGTGTGGAACGCCTTTAAGCCAGTTTAGGTTGGTGTGCCAAAGAGGGCCAGATTTGATGACGTAAACACGTGTGAGGGCCAACCTTTTTTGTTGTTGAGCTTTTTTTTTAAGATTGAAGTTGTTTTTAGGATTTTACCCCAGGAGATAGACTGCCACAGGGGCCGGATTAGGCCCCCAAAGCAGACTTTGGACATGCCTGTTATACACAGTCCAAGACAGTTTCAGTTATCCATGCCATGGGTTCCCTTCGGACTGGACTTCTGTAATACATGGGGCAGACAGGGAACAGCATATAATGCAAAATGCTGAGGTGAGTGTGCTAAGTGAGATTATGTATCAGGAACATATGATGCTAGTGCTAAAACAAGCTCCCAGGCTGTCTGGGGTGTGTGTTTTGTTCCTTTTGCCTTTGTGTGGCCACTGACAAGTATTGCCTTCCCTTTTTCTTTTCATGTTTGGAGATAATGGTTAAAAGCTTCAGCTGTAGCAGGCTCTGTGGAAATAGGGAGACACAAGTGTACCTGTAACTTCAGAAGGATAGTCAAGACTTTCTTTGGGTTTTAATCATTTATAATGATATATATTTTGTGGACCCTTCCATCAAATGGGAGGTCAGCAACCTCTTGAAGAAAGACAGTGTGGGATTCTTCTGAGATATTGAACATTAAGTGCATCTAGAACTTTATCCCTTGGTGAAGCTGTATTTGCAAAATAAATTGCTTTAAAGTAGCTCGGCCAAGATGCATATTTTCCTACTCCCTTGGAAGAGATCTTTAAAGTTCTCACCCGTGTTCACAATTTTCCCACACAACCATGTGACCTGCAAATGTATGCAAGGAATAAGGAAATCAGCTCAGAGTTGTATTTAAAATGCAGATATATTTTAAAGGTTGGTGTCCAATAATATCTTAAGGGCTTTTACAAGGACAGGAAGGAACACCACGGACAGAAAAAAATGTCACACACAGGGGGAATAAGGATATAGTTTGAATGTTTTGAAGGGACAGGATACCCAAATCCTGTCTGTGAAATCACCCCAGGCTTCAATAATCACCCCAGGCCTCAAAACTGTCCAAAATTCCCTTTCTCTCTCCTAAAATCCACAGCTACAGCTTTTCTGTGGATTCTCACAAGATCCTGTTCCAAAGGCAAAATGTTATTCTTTTATCAGCACGAGAAGGCTTCAAAAAGCTAATGAATAGGCTCTGTTCAAAGCAGGCCTGAGAACTGAATCTTATCTCATTCAGTTGCAACATCTTTGGACATGCTGAACCGCTTTCATTCCCCTTTTCCTGGGAAGGGTGCCAAGAGTCCACAATAGTCCCAAGAGAGCTTTCTGTTCATGCTCAGAGGAACTCATGGGGCAGGACTCTGGAAGAAGGAGGAGAAAGGGGGAGGGAACTGGAAGGGGATATATACTCTGTGCACATGACTGTGAACTCATGCATGCTTTTTGTGAGTTATCACACTTGCTCCTTCTACCAGTTCATGGATGGTAGAAATAAAGCTTTTTCTCTGAAACTATTCCTTGAGTGTCTGTTGACTCCCATTTTCCCTTTCCCGGGCGCAATATTTTTCCCACCCGAGGGCAAAGCCTCATAAGGCTACAGTTTCACCTATAGATTTATAATGTGTTAATTTTGAATGGATGTTGTTAATACGAAATTGTAATTGCAAATGTCATTGAGATGAGTAAGCTTTTGGAACACAGAAACAAAGTAAATAACCAAACCATCAATTCTAGCATGTGGGAGGCCACCTGAATTATATAATTTGGCATCTGAATGATTGGGATTAGCAATTGTATTATAATTTGGCATTGTTATAATGAGGCTACTATTGGATTTTTGTAAAAGAAAACTACGTAATAAGATATTTCCCCCCCCAACAATAATTTTTAAGGGCCACAGCAGGTTCCCCATCGCTTGGTTAAAAACGTGAGGCAGCAAGGGCGATCCTATGCATGTCTACTCAGGAGTAAGTCCCCTTCAGTTTAGTGATACCTCCTAGAAGAGGAGCCTAAATTATTGCCATTGAGTTATGGCATTGTTGTTGTTCACTCAGGAATACCCCAGATGGGCGGGGTATAAATAATAAATTATTATTAAGTTATTATTATTATTATAGCTCACCACCCTCACATTTCCATTTTTACTTGAAATCTGTATTTACCACGATGGCAAATGCAGTGCAAAAAGAACTGGAGACCCACGTTTGGGAAACTACTCTTGAGGAGCCCTTTCCTGGCGGGAAAAACCAACTCGCCTCAGCGCCTCCCGCTTTTCCCGCCTTTTCCAACGGCCGCCCGCTCGCTCGCCTCCCTCACGCGCCCATTTCCCGCTCGGCGCATGCGCGCGCGGAGGGCCGGCTTCGGAAGAGGGCGGCTCAGCGTGTCTCCGTGCGTAGCCGGAGCGCGCGCGCCGTGAGGACGTGGCGCTTTCCAGCCAATCCGCTCCCAGCCGCTTCCTCTTCGGCTCCTCCCACCCACTCCGCCTCGCCCAGCTTCGGTCCGCTAAGGGAAGGGAGGAGGGATGGGGAAGGCGGGGCGTAAGCAGCCGCGAAGGCCAATGGTAAAGCCGCGAGGGAAGGACGGCGGCTTCTGATTGGTGTGCAGGGCCAGGAGGAGGCGGGGCGTGGGGCGGGGAGGGTTGGCCTTTGGCGCGGCCGTTTCCGGTCGTCGTGAGGGGGAGAAGCCGAGGCGGCGGCGGCCACGGCGGCAGGAGAGGGAAGGTAACGGGGCCAGCTCGGGAGCGGCTAAAGCGGGGAGGCGCGCTCACACGAGCACGTGCTCCTCCAGAGGAGGGGGGGTGTCGCAGTTCTGACCCGGAGCCGCTTCTGACCCGGGTTCAGATTCACGTGTGAATGCGACCGGGGATGGTCTAGGAAAGCGAGAGGGTTTCTTCCGGGGAAACAAAAGGCTCCCAAGTGCCGAGGAGTGCAGACGTGCCTCCTTCGGCCCCTTATGATCGCCTTCCGACGGCCTGGGGACTTGCGTGTTTAAGCGCAGGGGCACGGAAATAGGGTCAGACCCGGGGGCCACCGAGGCCCACGTCTTGTTTTGCTATCCAGTGGTCGTCTCTCTCTCTCTCTGCCTGGTGGTCAGCTGCTGTGGCCCGTTTTGTTCTGTATTTGTATTATTATTATTATTTATTCTGCAAACCACGCTGTGATCTTCGGATGAAAGGCGGCATATAAATTTAATAAACAGCAATAACTGGGCAGTCCGCCAGCGGGGCCTCCCTTGACGTTTTCGCCACCCGATGGAAGTCGTAGCCCAGAACGACTGGAGGGCGCCAGGCTGGGGAAGCTGCTCTACGGCGCCCTTAGGTGTCAATTCTTTTGTCCGCCTGTCAATTTGCCCATCAGTCAGGATTCACTCCACCCTCTAATTTGGTGATCAGCTTCATCCTGCCTCTGGGCTTCGCAATTGTGATAGACCTGACTCGAGTAGTCTTTACTAACCATTTTTAAAAGGGCTTTTCTTTTTAAGGTAAAACGCAGCAAATTTATTAAGTTGCTTACAGTTTATGAAGCAACCTTTTCTTGGTTCTGAACCTCCTGTTGATCAGTTTGATCGTGACTTCACTGAGTGTTTTCTTCCCCTATGCATTAAAAAAATATACAACATACATATGTATACAGACACAAAGAAAGAGAGGAACATGTAATAAATAAACAAATTAATTTATCTTCCGTGAGGTTCTGTCAACTCTTACTAGCCACAGCGGCTATGTATTGCTTCCACTGTTGCAGGCAGTATGCCTCTGAATACCAGTTGCTGCGATTAAAAAGTGAGGAGCGTTCAGGTTGCCCACACTTAATTTTCCTTGGCTCTTACCAGGCAGGTCCACGCTTTAAAGCTCTATCTGAGCCCACCCACTCCCTTTTTGCCACAGTTTTTCCCCCTGAGGAAACCCACTCTTTAAAGCTCAATTGGAGCAAACAGCAATGCACAGAAAACCCCAATTGACATTATGGACTCTCATGGAGCACTAAAAAGGGTGTGTGTTTTTGCAGGAAAAAGTCCTGTACCTGGAAAGAATGGGGCAAAAGCTAAGTGTGGATAAGCCCTAACTGTTGTACAGCCCTAACTGTTCATCCACCTCTAGTCTGTCTCTGTGAGAACGGGATGCTGGACTTTAGCCTCATCCATTAAACTGGATTTTCTTATGTTTAACCTTCATTGTATAATTACAGACCATTGGCTCATGTAGTCCTGTGTACAGTATTGTTCACTATGAATGGCAGAGGGTTTCCTGGCTCTCCTTCCCTGAGACACCCCCAAATTGGGCATTGAATCTTGGACCCTGGGCACTCAGTGTACTCTGTCATTGAGGTACAAGCTCTTCCCTGATGCTTTGGGGTGTTTCGAAAGATACAGAACAGTTGATGAATTAGACAAGGAACAACCCAGTGATAACTTGGAATTCAAGGACAGTTTGTTTTGAAGCAAGCATACAGTAAGCATATAGGAACGTCTCTTACCGGGTTTTTCTAATTGTCCATCTAGTTCACATTTTTGTTTGGGCACGATGTGAAAGTTACAGCTACCGAATGTTGGTTGGCTTTTTTATTGGATTGAGGTCCAGCTCTGAGGCCCTTCTGGTGGTTCCCTCACTGCAAGAAGCAAAGCTACAGGGAACCAGGCAGAGGGCCTTCTCCGTGGTGGCGCCCTCCCTGTGGAACGCCCTCCCACCAGATGTCAAGGAGATAAACAACTACCTGACTTTTAGAAGACAGCTGAAGGCAGCCCAGTTTAGGGAAGTTTTTAAGGTTTAATGCTGTATTGTGTTTTTAATATTCAGTTGGGAGACGCCCAGAGTGGCTGGGGAAACCCAGCCAGACGTACGGAGTTTAAATAGATAATTATATTTATTAGTTTGTTATAGCTAACATGGCTGCTCTTCTAGAACATATACTGTACATTGGAAGATGCTGATCCTGGGGTACTGCTGTTTTACTGTTTTTATTCTATGACTTCCACTCTGGAAGCACCAGGTGGTGGGGTGTGTCTGTGTGATCTTTTGGAACTGGAGTGAGCAACCTGTGATCTTTCATCATTGACCATTCCGGCTTTGGATGCTAGGGACTGGTGTGCAACAAGATAATTAAGAGAGCTTGGGGATCTCCACTCCTGAGTTAAAAGAACTTAAATTCAATTCACACATTTTAAACACTTTCACGCCTGCTGTGTCCCTGGCATGGGAAACAGGGAATGAGAGAGGAAGTGCCACTGAACGGAGCAACATTTCCAAAGCACTTGTGTTGTGGTATAACACTGGTGCTCTGCTCATCGTAATACACTGTGTGCAGTTTTCACCTGGACTGACTGGCTGGCATGGATTGATCACCTGCACAAACCTTTGTTATTATTTCTCTGACAGTAGCCAGCTGTTTATCTGGGTGTGAAGGTAATGGTCTTCTCTAGCATTCATTCACAGTAGATTTAAGATTACAAATAGCAACACATTCGTACTTGCTACGCAATCAAGGACACTGTAACATCACCTTCCCCAACCTGGTGTCCTCCAGATGTTCTGGACTACAACTCCCATTGACTGAGGCTGATGGAAGTTGTATTCCAAAACATCTGGATGGGGAAGGCTTCTCTCTTAACACCATGTATGTGAGATCCCATACTCTGTATTAGTCTGATGTAACAAATTCTCTGGTTTTGTACTCTGAGTCACTAAGAGGTTATAAGGCTATTTTCATCCATAAATGTGCAATCAGTGGGTGTAAAAATCCACGCTTTGATAAAGGTAGCTTGCTTATGTTAAGCGACTCTGTGTGGTCTAAGCTGTTTCAAAAGTAGTTGCCCTGAATTATTCCCATGTTTAGCAGTTGTCCGTATGATAGCATTGCTTGCTATTTTAAGGTCACTCTCAGGCCCCTGTACATTGTACACATTGTTGGCAATTGTGAATGACCACCACATCTGGATATATGTTGGGCAATCAGGCTGTTGCTTAGATGTATTTGATTCAAGATGGGAGAAGCAGGTTGCTTGCTGGTAGTATTTTGAGTGCTGTTGGGGGTTTCTTGTGCTCTGGTAACTTTACTTGAATGAAGTAAATGAATTTACTTAAGCATTTATATGAATGAAGTTATTGAAAGTTTGTTTAAGAATACTTTCCTTAAAATGTCGCCCAGTCATTACTGGAATATTAATTGATCAGAAACGGTTTTATGATTTTCAGAGTCTGTGTTGTTGGTATTTTGTCCCATTTTATTTTATTGTACAACACTTCAAATGCCCCTGGCTGTGGAGCAACTTAAAAATCTGAATGATAATACTACACATACAGGATTTTTGTGTGAGGCTAAAGCATTTGATGCTAGTTCTTTAAAATTATATATGCATCCTCCTGGTGCCTAGATATCCGAGATGGTTTTCCAGCCCCAGGCAGGAGGCCAGCTTCTCTCGGACAGAGGCCTTTTTAAGTGTCTGGAGTGTCATGCCACATATAGATAGCTCAGCTGATGAAGTTACCTCCAGTTAGCCTCCAGTGTTAGAAACTCAGATATATAAGCTAGGCACCAAATAGCTCCTTAAACCAGGGTTACAGTCACCAGAACTGAATGCCTAGTTGCCTTATTTTGGCCCAGATGGCTCAAAAGTTATATTTTTCAATACGACTTTTTGGTTCCTGAAATTCATCCTGATTTTGCAGAAAAAATATAACAGAATTCTACAGATACTAGTGTATGAAAACAGTCCCGATCCAAAGATCCCCAGGCATGCACCTCCAGATGGTGGAGACATCGGGCGCCATTGGAGCATCTTCACTTGGTCGCAAGAGGCCAACAGCTGGGTGCAAAATGTGCCTGGCGCCTAGCAAATTTCGATTGCTGCCTGGTAGACTCTTTCAGTACACCAGAAGAGCCCTTCTGGATCAGATAGACCAAAGACCCGTTCAGTTCTCACAGTTCTAATTAGATGCTTCAGGGAAGGCTACAAGAGATCAATATCTATATGGCTGCTGGATAAGGCACTGTTAGCTGAACTCTGAAAGCTTGACCTCCGGCAATGCACACCAATTTTAGTTGAGTGGGCCAATTTCCCATCCTTAAATTGCACCAGTTTTTGTATGCTGTTGTGTGTGCTCACTGAGAGGATTACCACGCTGCAATTCTCCCGCAAGCCAGGTTTATGTGTGCTGCCTGTCAAAACTGTTTCTTTAAATACTGTACAAGCCTCCAATCTACTATGTCACGATGGGTTTGGAGCATGTAACATGACAATTGCCACAGCGTGTCTGCCCATCTTTGAGATAAGAGATGCAAAAAGCTTCTGCATCTTGCTTTGTATAGTGATTATCCTCCAATCACTCTGCTCCCCCCCAAAAAACCCCCTATCAACGACCTGTTTTCCGTGTCCCTTAGAATCCCCTCCTTTTTGTGTCATAGCTCAAAATGATGGGTTTTGGGGACAGAAAATTCAAGGTGCAGGCACATTGCAAATTGGATGTGCGATTGAGATTGCTGTCTCCTGTTCTGGACTGTGCTTTATAGCTCATGGATATAAACAGCTCATTGTGTGAGATACTTGGAGGAACAGGCAATTTGCTTAAGGCATGTGTTTGTGTGCTGGTCTAATATGTTGTGGTTTTAACAGCCAGAATAGTCCTAATACCTTGGAAAAAAGGAATTGGAAGTAGGAGTAAGCCAGTTGGAGTCCTCAGCCGGTTTTAGGCAGCGTAGATTTTTTTTTTAACAGAACAACTGACTTTTCAGAATAAAGAAATGTAAAATTGGATTTACAGATGCATGCCAGTTTTTAATAATGTTGTTGTTTAGTCGTTTAGTCGTGTCCGCCTCTTCGTGACCCCCTGGACCAGAGCACGGCAGGCACTCCTGTCTTCCACTGCCTCCCGCAGTTTGGTCAAACTCATGTTCGTAGCTTCGAGAACACTGTCCCACCATCTGGTCCTCTGTCGTCCCCTTCTCCTTGTGCCCTCCATCTTTCCCAACATCAGGGTCTTTTCCAGGGAGTCTTCTCTTCTCATGAGGTGGCCAAAGTCTTGGAGCCTCAGCTTCAGGATCTGTCCTCCCAGTGAGCACTCAGGGCTGATTTCCTTCAGAATGGAGAGGTTTGATCTTCTTGCAGTCCATGGGACTCTCAAGAGTCTCCTCCAGCACCAGAATTCAAAAGCATCCATTCTTTGGCGATCAGCCTTCTTTATGGTCCAGCTCTCGCTTCCATACATCACTACTGGGAAAACCATAGCTTGAACTATACAAACCTTTGTTGGCAAGGTGATGTCTCTGCTTTTTAATATGCTGTCTAGGTTTGTCATTGCTTTTAATAATAGCATGTTTTAAAAATGAAATCTGGCCTTAATGTGAGCATAATGGGTTGTATCCAATGCCCTGTGCGCATAGTTCTGCGGGAACTTCCATTCCCTCTCCTCCCTCTGCGCACCCCCAAAATCTGCTCCCTCAACCCTTTGTAGCTGATTTTGAGGGTGGGTGGGAAAGGGAAAGGGGAGAGAAAGCTTTGTTGTGTGCCACAACAAAGGGACGTCAGTTGTGCCAGCGCAGCTCGTAAACCTTTTGAACTCGACTTCTGACCCTCTTGTGAAGTCATTTGTTTCATACAAATAGATTGGGGGGGGGCTGTATGCATGATGCAAATGGGTGTAACTCTGATGCAGTTTGACAAGCTCGTGAGCATTATCTAATGCTCTAACAAAGTCAATAAAAGGATATCATATTGTATAGTTGTGAATCTTTCTCCTCCCAGATCGATATTTCTTTGGTGAAATAGTCAATTTGTCCATAAGCACAGTGTCTCATACTTTCAAAATACAGGCTTCTAAAAGATTTGCATTTAAAGTTTTCCAAAAGAATTTTGCATTCACTAATCTAGCTGCAGTTAATAAATGGAAGGTTGGGTATTTATTGGTTATGTTCTTAATATGAGGAGTAAAATAAGATAGCAGAGCTACTTTTGTGTCTGGTTGTACCAATTGTCCCATCATTTGATTAATTGTTTGAAAAAGCTTTTCCCCCAAAGGGAATAATCTTTGGGCAAAACCACCCTGTGTACTAGGGAGCCATGTAAATTTCATTTCTGCCAGCCAAGGTTAGATGTGTTACGATTAATTCTATATATAATTGTTGTGCTCCTTGCAATAAAGTCGGCTAATTATAAATGGACTTCTGTGTAACACCTTGACTTTAAGTTGTCATTAATGGGAAAGCAAAGCTCGCTTGGATACGAGTAGCCAATTCACGAGGAAATTATGTTTGGAGAGGTGTTTTGGGCACGTTCGGTTGCAGGCCCCGGCGCCAGTGGTGTATGCCTGGAAGGCAAGTTTAACAAGAGACTTTCATTGTTGGCAAAATATCACTGATGTTCGCCACTTCAGTATGCGTAGGAATAGGCCTGGCTGTTTTGCCAGAAAAGTTCCTGGCTGATTCTGCTTTCTATCCCCAGGCAATGCCATAACACACTTGGCCCCTTGTAAACGGAAGTGTTTGTGTGTGTCGTGGGAGCTTGCCTGGGCTTGTAGAAGGCTGAAAAGTCTTGACCAGTGTAACTTTCATGAGATTTTATGAACTAAGGGAGAAAGCGTGTTTGTCAAAATGAGTGTGAGTTTGCATCAGAAAGGGTATGTCACAGGATCAGGGTCACAAAAAGATAACCAGAAACGCCTGGAGGACATGGGAACACTAAAATGTATTGGATATTCTACTCCAAGTAAACCCGTTGAAAGTGATAGATGTGATTTACTTAGGTCCATTAAATTTAATGCAGTGGTGGCCAAACTGGACCCTCCAGCTGTTTTGGGACTACAACTCTCATCATCTTTAGCTAGTGGGACCAGTGGTCAGGGATGATGGGATTTGTAGTCCCAAAACAGCTGGAGGGCCAAGTTTGGCCATCACTGATTTAATGGGTCCGCTACTCTTAAGTAAAACCTGGTTGCACGCAAGCTATTTTTGTGTCAGGTAAGGAGAAATTTCATTGTTTTCATTAAATCTGTTCTATGTTGTTAGCAGTTCTTGTTTTTATCTGTAAGCCACCTTGAGTCCTGTTAGGGAAAAAGATGGGTGATGATGATAGAGTGGAGTGTAAGGTGGTGACTGTGGTCCAAGGAAAGGCAGGGCAGCAGAGTTTTGAGTTCTGCAGAGCTCCAGGTCAGTGAAAGTTGTGAATGGTGTGCTCCATGCATTTGGGTTGGTCTTGGTTTCTGGGCGTAATTTGTGCTGTCCATCAGGAGAGTGGAGCCATCTTTCTGTAAGTCACTGAGGAGGTGCTTCCTCTGAAGTCCAATGTGCGTGCAGGGACAAACCGCTCTCCCACTACCTCAGCAACCATATTCAGAAATGGAGGATGCATACCAGGTCCTAGATTGAATCCCTGGCCTTTCCAATTGCAGAATTGTAAGTCGCAGAGAAAAGGGACGTGGGTGGTGCTGTGGGTTAAACCGCAGAGCCTACGGCTTGCCGACCAGAAGGTCAGCGGTTCGAATCCCCATGACGAGGTGAGCTCCCATTTCTCGGTCCCTGCTCCTGCCAACCTAGCAGTTCGAAAGCACATCAAAGTGCAAGTAGATCAATAGGTACCGCTCCGGTGGGAAGGTAAACAGCGTTTCCGTGTGCTGCTCTGGTTCGCCAGAAGCGGCTTAGTCCTGCTGGCCACATGACCCGGAAGCTGTACGCCGGCTCCCTCAGCCAATAAAGCGAGATGAGCGCCACAACCCCATAGTCGGCCACGACTGGACCTAATGGTCAGGGGTCCCTTTACCTTTAAGTCGCAGGCAAATGCACCTTTGCCTGAGATTCTAGAGAGCCACTGCTAAGCCAATGTTGGCAAGTACTGAACAGGAGCAGCAAACTGACTCTGTACATTAGGCAGAAGAGACATCTTACGTAATGTGTCCTCGCTGGAATGCTTAGCCCACAGGGCCAGATAAAACTGAAATTGGACTTTCAGACTTCTCTGAAAAATATTTTACATTACTAGGGAGCCAGCCCCCTGAGACCTTCCGGCCCTGTTTCTTTCAGATTAAAAGACTGCTTGGGTTGCAGTGAGGCATGCGCAGAGGTTTCTCACGTTAGTATTCCTTGCGTCAATTCCACACAGGCCTTCATGAAGTATTGTGGTGGCTCATTCTGGAACAGGGGAGCTATAGGGAGCCCTGTGGCCAATGCAGAGCTAGCTCCGCAGCTATCCGAAGGGTGGTGGTGGAGGAAGATGATGTGCTATAAATAGTTAAAAGTCTTGCTGCTGGAATGCAAGTTGCACAGAACCCCTTCGAGCGCATCGCGTGCATATAATATATATGATGGCTTTGGCGGCAGGGAGGGGCTTGAATCTCTTCCCCCAGAATCTTAAGCATTTGCCAAAACAGCTTGGTGACTCTGATCCCCTCCTCTCTTTTCCCTGTGATGTGATTTTTCTCCCTGGGCTGGGTGAGACTATAAATTGTGTATCTCTTTACGCATGGAGCTGTTGAAATTCCATAACAGTGAGCAAATTCTGTACTGCCACAGTGTTTTGTAGTTGGCAGGAAAACACTCCCCTTCCGTTCTCAGAGAGGTCTTGCCTGATGACATTTTTATTATCATTTTAGGTTAGGTGAGCATATCCTAGCTGCTGTAGGTATGCCACAAAAAGAGGAGATTGTTGTTATTAGTGTTCTTCATTGTGGAATCCTCCTTCAAGATGGAATTTCACAACATTGCAGAGGGAGTTCTTCTTAAGCCTAAAAAAGAACGTAACACAGCACCAGCATTGAATTCCAAAAGGGCTTCTTGCTCAGTTGTGCTGAATACTTTCCTGAAGCTTATGAATCTGCAAGCAAACCCTCCATAGGCTGTACACCTATGATGCTATGGTAGATTAAAGAAATGAGCATTAAACAGCAGCATGCCATGTGCGGAGAAGTCACAGGCTACTCTAGATGCTGCAAACATTCTTACTAGGTGTGGGCCAAGGATACATGGAGTCCACTCAAACACATGCTGAAAGTGTAAAGCAGGGGTCAGCAAACTTTTTCAGCAGGGGGCCAGTCCACTGTCCCTCAGACCTTGGGGGGGGGGGCGGACTATATTTTTTGTGGAAAAATGAACGAATTCCGATGCCCCACAAATAACCCAGAGATGCATTTTAAATAATAGGACACATTCTACTCATGTAAAAACACACTGATTCCCGGACTGTCCGCGGGCCGGATTGAGAAGGCAATTGGGCCGGATCCGGCCCCCGGGCCTTAGGTTGCCTACCCATGGTGTAAAGAAAAGAAAGGCACTTTCTATCATATGTGGTGGTCCTGTAAAATTCTTCTGGGAAATGCTTTATAATGAATTGAAGAAAAAGTTTAAGATAACCTTTACTAAAAAACCGGAAGGACCTTAAAAATTTGCTCTTGTATGCCACAACCGCAGCCAGAATGGTGTTTGCCCAGAAGTGGAAATAAGATGCTATACCAACTAAGGAAGAGTGGCTGATTAAATTGATGGACTATGCCAAATGGCAAAACTGATGGGTGTAATATGAAACCAGGGGGGGGGGGCATGATTAAAGAATGGGAAAATTTGTAGAATATCTGAAAGGTTCGGGGATGCAAATAAGTTCATTAGTAGGATTAACTTAAATCAAACAGTTAAAAATATAACCAAGATAAAAGGAAGAAAAAATGGAGTAAAGTGTTAAAAATCTAAAGTAGAAAAGGAAACACAAAAGGGGGGTGGGAGTGAAGTCATATATGTACCGTAATTGTATTCAAAATACCGTATTTTTTGCTCTATAAGACTCACTTTTTCCCTCCTAAAAAGTAAGGGGGAAAGTGTGTGTGTCTTATGGAGCGAATGCAGGCTGCGCAGCTATCCCAGAAGCCAGAACAGCAGGAGGGATTGCTGCTTTCACTGCGCAGCGATCCCTCTTGCTGTTCTGGCTTCTGAGATTCAGAATATTTTTTTTCTTGTTTTTCTCCTCCAAAAACTAGGTGCGTCTTGTGGTCCGGTGCGTCTTATAGAGCGAAAAATACGGTATGTGTTTGTAAGGTGTACTTGTAATCATGTGAAATCATGTTTGTAAGGTGTACTTGTAATCATGATAATATATGATACAGGGAGTCCAGGAAGGCAGAACTGGAAAGAAACTGAGGCAATGAATGGATTATGGAGGAGGCAGAGTTGAGGGAAGGAGGGGCCGATAAAAAAGCACCCGTGTCTTTATTCTGTGTCCCTGCTTCTTTCTGTCCTCTGCCTCCTTCAGTTTCCACCTGTCAGCCAGTGCCGTATCCTTAGAATCATAGAATTGTAGAGTTGGAATGGTCCACAGGGTCATCTAGTCCAACCCCCTGCAATACAGGGATCTTTTTCCCAACGTGGGGCTCGAACCCACAACACTGAGATTAAGGAGTCACATGCTCTGCTAACGGAGCTACCTTCCTTCCCTCCGCTCAGCCTTTGCCAATCTAGTGACCTCCAGGTGTTTTGGACTACAACATCTATCAACTCCAGCCTGCTGATGGCAAAGGCTGCTTTTGCAAGCCTGTATCTTCCTCCTTCCTGCTCCCTTGTCCTAATGGAGGGTCACCTGGGACCCTGGGGCAGAGGAGCTGTGTGCAGTTTGCAGCAGAGGGGTGGATGAATAAGGGAGCTTCTGGAGGCATGAAGCTTTGGGGACAGCATTGTCAAAAGAGGTGTGGCATGTGGGGAGTGAAATTCACATTGTTCAGAATGAACTAGCCAAGTCTTTGGCTGCAGTTCTCTAGTTCTGAACACCTACACAGCCACGACTTCCGTTCTTTGTAGTTTCAAAATAGCCTGTTGTGTGGTCAGTTACATTTAGCTTAACCCAACGTATTAGTGTGTGCCTGGCTAGTTGTTGATGCCTCTACACCATGAGAAAATAATAGCCTCAGGGTTCGTATGGGCACAGTCAACATGGTGATCACAAATGCCATCACTTCTTGCTAATTAAGACGAGTGGCATCAGGCAGCCAGCTAATTATAACGTTCTTTTTCTGCAGTTGGAAGTATCTAGCAGAAGGGCAATTGTGTGGCGTGACTGATGGTGCCCACGGGAAGCCTGAAGACCTTCAGCTTCAAACAAGCTAACTCTTGCCCCTGTGTTTAATTTCCCAAGGATATCACCATGGTTGTGGCTGTTCGGCAGGTCGTTTTGTACCTGTCCCTGTGGACCGCCTGCGTTCTGAGCAAACCCACCGAGAAGAAGGATCGCATCCACCACGAACCTCAGCTCAGCGACAAGGTCCATGATGATGCACAGAACTTCGACTATGACCACGATGCCTTCCTGGGTGCAGATGAGGCCAAGACCTTTGACCAGCTGACGCCGGAAGAGAGCAAGGAGAGGCTGGGGTAAGGAAACCTTGATGGTTTTCACATCGGAAGGCTGCTTGGGGGTGACTCAAATCCACTGCAGCCTGTTGTGTGCCTTCCCCACAAGCCAGCTCCCATGGGGCTCTGATGCACAGACCAGCTAAGCAACTGTCCTTGCCTTTAGACCATGGGTAGGGAGCCTGTAGCCTTCCAGGTATTGTGGAATTCCCACCTTTTACCATGCTACCTGCAGCTGGTGGATGTTGGAGCCCAACCGCACCTGAAAATCCTCAAGTTACCCATTCCTCCTTTAGACAGACTTGCAGCCCAAAGCTAGCGACTTTTTCTCAGGAGTAAGCTGGCATGAATTAAACGGAAATTATTCCCAGGTCAGTATCTACAGAGTTACGGCAGGTGTGAGGAGCCTTTGACCTAGATATTGCTGAACAACAACTCCCATCATCCTTGGCCATCAGCCACGCTTTCTGGTACTGATGGGAGTTGTAGTTCAGGAACACCTGGAAGGCCAAAGATTTCATTGAAATCTGTGCAGGTGCATCTTGTTATTAAGTGCCCCTTAAGTTGCTGATTGGGACGCAGGTGGCGCTGTGGGTTAAACCACAGAGCCTAGGGCTTGCCGATCAGAAGGTCGGCGGTTCGAATCCCCGCGATGAGGTGAGCTCTCCTTGCTCGGTCCCTGCTCCTGCCAACCTAGCAGCTTGAAAGCACAAAGTGCAAGTAGATAAATAGGTACTGCTCCAGCGGGAAGGTAAACGGCGTTTCCGTGCGCTGCTCTGGTTTGCCAGAAGCGGCTTAATCATGCTGGCCACATGACCCGGAAGCTGTATGCCGGCTCCCTCGGCCTCTAGAGCGAGATGAGCGCCGCAACCCCAGAATCGGCCACGACTGGACCTAATGGTCAGGGGTCCCTTTACCTTTTACCGAGTTGCTGATTAACAGTACAGTTGTACCTTGGTTCGCGAACGCCTTGCGAGTCGAACGTTTTGGCTCCCGAACGCCGCAAACCCGGAAGTGAATGTTCCAGTGTGCGAACGTTCTTTTGAACCCGAATGTCTGACGCGGCTTCTGATTGGCCGCAGGAGCTTCCTTTCCTTGTGGGTCGGGTTTCAGTTAAATCCCTCACCAGCATGCTTTGATGCAAGTGGAGGATAGCGAAGGGGTGGAGAACAGCCCAACTGTAACGCCTGGCCCTCGAGAGCTTGCCTGTTAGTGGGTCCGGTGTCAAGGAAAAGAATCTGACACTCCGCAAAGGAAATGTGTTTCCTGCAGCCAATCGGAAGCCGTGCCTTGGTTTCCAAACGTTTTGGAAGTCGAACAGACCTCCAGGATGGATTCAGTTCGACTTCCAAGGTACCACTGTTAATAAATTTGTGCCCATGGCGAGAGTCTTGACCAGGGCCCTGGAGTTCATGGCGAGGAGAATAGCAGTGCTAATACCGTAACCTGCTTCATCGCATTTGTTCAAATTAGCTCCTCCAGAAGGCTGTGACCTTGATGGGGCTAATGGCTCTCCCTCGGCAGTGCAGTGGGAAATGCCTCTCCCTCCCGCACCTTTCAACCCCCACCCACCCCGTGGCCCAAGTGTCAAGTAACAGGAGTGACAGCTGTGGTTATATTTGGCTGAGCATTCTTACGCTTCTGCTGCTGCAGACTTGGGAAAAGCTCTCCTTGGGAAATAAATCATGCAAGTTTGCCCCTTTAGCCCCTCACTGTCGAGACTTTCTGAACATGCCGCACCGCTGTGGGGGCCTTGGCCAAAGAGCCTGGTTGTTTGTCCAGCCCAGCAAAGTAGTACAGGCTTGCATCATGATGTTCTCGTTTGTGCCAGAGAATTGATTCAAGATTTTCCCCCCTTTCTCTGGCAGCTGTGAGTAGGGTGCTGCTGTGTTGTTCCAATGGGCAGATGCCCATTAGGGTCAGGGCAAGAAGAAGGGTATCCAGACTGCCACCCACAAGTGCATGAGGCACCCTACACTCACACACAAGCAGGGTTCGAGCAAAGCCAGTAGGTCTAGCAGAAATTTGGGCCGAGTGCTCCAGTTCACGTTGCATCACAGGCACACTCTCCAGAGCAGCTGTCTGCGCTGGCAAGGGCTGATGGGAATTGTCGTCAGGCTGGGGAAGGCTGCTGTAGAGTAGCAGGATGTGTGTCCTGCTGTTCAGGCGAGTCGTCGTCCAGTTAGGGCAGGCAGGTTGCAGGCGACTTTCCTAGGACTCGCGCCTCTTGCCCAGAATTGCCACCTCGTCCGACCTTTCCTTGTGGGTCGGGTTTCAGTTAAATCCCTCACCAGCATGCTTTGATGCAAGTGGAGGATAGCGAAGGGGTGGAGAACAGCCCAACTGTAACGCCTGGCCCTCGAGAGCTTGCCTGTTAGTGGGTCAGGTGTCAAGGAAAAGAATCTGACACTCCGCAAAGGCAATGTGTTTTTAACACAGTACAAAGGTAGCATGCATTTACCTTGGAATTTCAAAACTAGCCGTCACCACCACCACCCTTGCCTCCATCTTGGCTGCTTTTTGAGCTTCTCAGTGGAGGTGGCAGCTGCAGCCCTTTCCCTCCTTTTCCCTAGCTCTGTCCTCCCGGACTCAACTTGCTTTATTGATTCCTAGCAGCTGCTGCTGTGACTGGAGATCCCTGGGGCAGCTGCCTGGAGCAAGGAGGAAGCCTTTGTGTGTGTGTCTGAGTGGCTTTCCTTGCCTCAGGGCTCCCGAGACCAGGGCTGTTAAATGCAAGTTAATGTTTAAAGTTGATTTAATTGTGCCAAATAATGGGTTGCATCTGGCAGGATCTGGTTCCGTGCTTTCATGGCGTTACAGGCAGGTCCTTGGTTACTACTGGATGCGCGGGGAGGTGGGCTGTCGTGAGAGGTCCATATAAATTGCTGAGGGTTTCAGAGGCCACTGGGCCTCAAAGATGAGCAGCTGCCACATTGCTGTTGAACAAGGCTGTCAGACACTAGAGCTTCAGTCTGTTCCTTCCTAATACAGTGGTACCTTGGTTCTGAAACTTAATCCGTTCCGGAAGTCCGTTCCAAAACCAAAGTGTTCCAAAACCAAGGCGCGCTTTCCCATAGAAAGCAAAATGGATTAATCCGTTCCAGACTTTAAAAAAAACCCTAAAACAGCAATTTAACATGAATTTAACATGAATTTTACTATCTAATGAGACCATTGAGCCATAAAATGAAAGTAATAATCAATGTTCTGTACTATAAAATAAATAAGATAATAAAAAAATTAAAATTAATTTTTTTTCTTACCTGCACTGATAATAGTTATTGTTTGGATGGGGGGGTTATCCATTTCTGCAGTCAATCAATCAATCAATCAATCATAAAACAAAAAAACAATCCACAGACACAAAAATGAAAAAGACACACACACAAAAACGCAAAAGCAAAAACAAAAGCACCAAATATTACCTCAGAACACTGCAATCAGAAACAGAAGGCTTTAATTACGATTGGGGGGGACTTAAATTTGCTGCTTAAGGGTAAAACTGAAGGAAGGAAGCCTTAATTACTACGCGGGGGACTCAAATAAGCTGAACAGCAGTAAAAACGGAAGCTCAGGAGCACGTTTGGCTTCCGAGGCAAAGTTCGAAAACTGGAACACCTACTTCCGGCTTTGCAGCGTTTGGGTTCTGAGTTGTTCAGGAACTAAGCTGTTCAAAAACCGAGGTACCACTGTACAGAAGAGGGTAGGGAAGGGGTGTTGATTGTTCTCCACCTGCTGTCGGGCTGCAGCCCCCCATCCTCCCTGACAGTTGACCATACTGGCTGTGGTTGAAGGGAGTCCCAGCAACAAAAGATGGCTACAGGTGCCCTCTCCCTGGTAGCATAAGGGCTCTTGCTCCTCCCACTGTTGGGCTGCCCCGTAAAGGTAAAGGGACCCCTGACCATTAGGTCCAGTCGTGGCCGATTCTGGGGTTGCGGCGCTCATCTCGCTTTATTGGCCGAGGGAGCCGGCGTACAGCTTCCGGGTCATGTGGCCAGCATGACAAAGCTGCTTCTGGCGAACCAGAGCAGTGCACGGAAATGCCATTTACCTTCCCGCCAGAGCGGTACCTATTTATCTACTTGCACTTTGACATGCTTTTGAACTGCTAGGTTGGCAGGAGCGGGGACTGAGCAACGGGAGCTCACCCCGTCGCGGGGACCTTCTGATCGGCAAGCCCTAGGCTCTGTGGTTTAACCCACAGCGCCATGAGGGAGCCGGCGTTTCTCTGCAGACAGCTTCCGGGTCATGTGGCCAGCATGACTAAGCCGCTTCTGGTGAACCAGAGCAGCGCACAGAAACGCTGTTTACCTTCCTGGCGGAGCAGCACCTATTTATCTGCTTGAACTTGATGTGCTTTCGAACGCTAGGTGGGCAGGAGCTGGGACCAAACAACGGGAGCTCACCCCATCGCGGGGATTCGAACTGCTGACCTTCTGATTGGCAAGCCCTAGGCTCAGTAGTTTAGACCACAGTGCCACCTGCGTCCCTACTGGGTTGCCCCATAGCTGTTGCCAAACAGGGCACGTGACCCCCCCCCCCGGGTAGGCCCGGGTATTTATTTACTTTTGTCTCTTTTAACTCTTGCCGGCTTTTTCTGCATTTCCTACAGAAAGATTGTAAGTAAAATAGATGAAGACAAGGACGGGTTTGTAACTCCCGAAGAGCTAAAAGACTGGATTAAATTTGCCCAAAAGCGCTGGATTTACGAGGATGTAGAACGCCAGTGGAAGGGGCACGACCTCAATGAGGACGGGCTCATTTCCTGGGAAGAGTATAAAAATGCCACCTACGGCTACATCTTAGGTAGGTCCCCCGCTCTTGGGGCAACCGCTTTCTGGAGCCCGGCGTCTTGAAACTTGCTTGTTTTGTCTTGTAGAATGATTGTAAGTAAAATAGACACGGATAAGGATGGGTTTGTGACCGAGGGGGAGCTGAAGGCCTGGATTAAGAAGGCGCAGAAGAAGTACGTGTATGACAATGTAGAGCACCAGTGGCAGGAGTATGACATGAACCAAGATGGCTTAATCTCCTGGGATGAGTACAGAAACGTGACCTATGGCACTTACCTGGGTAAGGGGCAAGTTGCCAGAGCCGCAGTCATCCTGATCTCCTGCCGATAAAGCAGGAAGGGGGTGGATGGGCAGGGTGGTCTTGCAGGCCATGGGAAGCCTGAAATGCCTAATGATTTAGATCTGAGGCCCGATGCGTCTCTGCTGATAGAATCAGCCTTCGAATCTCGCCAGGCACATTTTTCACCTGGCTATCAGTAAAAATGCCCAGATAGCGTCTGACGTATCCACCATCTGGAGGTGTGTGCCTGGAGATCTTTGGATCTTGACAGTATTCACACATGAGCAACACACCTTGCAGAATTCTGTCCGCTATACTTTATCTGCACAATCAGAATGAATCTCAGGAACCAAAAAGTCACATTGAGAAATACAACTTTTGAGCCATCTGGCCGCAAAATGGCAACCAGGCATTCAGTTTGGGCGACCGTAACCCTAATTTAAGGAGTTATTTGGCGCCTAGATTTATATATCTGAGTTTCTAACACGGGATCGAATCCCATGTTATGGGAGAGGTAGCAGTTCTCTCCTTTGAAAATGGTCCCTTGCCAACTTACATTGAGGAAGCACAAAAAGCCCTGGAAGTCTTGGACCTTGGCTGGAGATGCCTCTTCTCACCTCTGCTTCATTGATAAATACAGCATAGTGACATGATCTTAATGGTAACTCTCCTGAGTGCTACCACAGGCTGTATGTTAACGTTAAATCTCCTGTTGCGTTTGAGCTCTTCAAGGCCTGTGCCTAAGAAAGGAGGGGAGAATCCTGGGAATAGAATAGAATAGAAAAGAACAGAATAAAATTTATTATTTATACCCCGCCCATCTGGCTGGGTTTCCCCAGCCACTCTGGGCGACTTCCAACAAAGTATTAAAATACAGTAGTCTGTTAAACATTAAAAGCTTCCCTAAAGAGGGCTGCCTTCAGATGTCTCCTAAAAATCTGGTAGTAGTTCTTCTCTTTGACATCTGGTGGGAGGGTGTTCCACAGGGCGGATGCCACCACCGAGAAGGCCTTCTGCCTGGTTCCCTGTAACTTGGATTCTCACAGTGAGGGAACCGCCAGAAGGCCCTCGGCACTGGACCTCAGTGTCCGGGCTCAACGATTGGGGTGGAGAGAAGCCCCCCAGATGCTGCGTTGGCCTCGCAGCTCCCCTAAGCCCCAGTCGCCACGGCCAGTGGTCACAAAGCCCAGAAGCATCTTGAGGGCCGCGGGTTGCCCACCCCTGGCCCACTGTTCCTGTCTGCAGAGGAGGAACTGTCACTCAGTGCAAGGAAGGCTAACTTCTGGGTTCAGTTGCAGTGCCAATGAGCTCACTACTCTGCAATGTGGGACGGGGGTCTTTCCAAAAATCTCTTCACTAGCATTGACCCAAACCAGTCTTCTCCAGGCTGGCACCCTCCAGATCTTTGGGACTACAACTCTCATCAGCCCTTGCTAGCACGTCCATGCTGCCTACGGCTAATGGAAGTTGTAGTCCATACTGTCTGGATGGCACCAGGTTGGAGGGGGGGGGAAGCTAGTGTGTAATGCTCTGAGCCTATTGCAAACACACCTTCCTGCTTATCGTGCACTCCCTGACTTGACTTGGGAAAAGAGCCATTCCTGTTGCAATACAGCGTGTTGCTCTTGGCTTTTATTTTAATTTTGATACCCAGATAATAAACTTACTTTCATGTAACTCTAGCAGTTGGTTCGAAATGAAGTAATTGCTGTGGTTAAAATATATCGTATTTTTCAGACCATAAGACGCACCTTTTTCTTCCTAAAAAGTAAGGGGAAATGTATGTGTGTCTTATGCAGCGAATGTGTGGTCCCTGGAGCCGAACTGCCCAGGGGCGAAAAGCAGATCATGCTTTTGGAAACAAAGCCGCTGATCGGCAAGTGATCAGGAGAGAGATAAGGGACGCTAGAGATAAAGGAGGCTGCCTGGGAGTGCGGAGGTAAAGACAGCAAACTTGCAAGGAGAGGAGACAGGAAGACTAAAGCAATGAGGAGAGAAATTAGAAGAAAAGGAGGAGCAAAAAACTGCTCCAGCTAAGGAAAAGACATTAAGGCAAACAAGAAGGAAGGGGTTGTTGAAAGGAAGCAGCTGATTGGTAAGCAATCAGGAGGGAGATTAGGGACGCAATAAAGGAGGCTGCCTGGGAGCGGGGAGGTACAAGCCAAGGATCCTCAGGATTTTTGCATTGGGTCACCCCAAATTCATCATCAGATCACATAGCATGTCCATGGCTACAGCCTGCACCAAAAAAATCACGCATCCACTGTTTCGTGGGGCCGCAGTGACGCAAAAACGTGGTTACAAAGCACAGATCCACATGGATCCTCAGGATTTTTGCATTGGGTCACCCCAAATTCACCATCAGATCACATGTCTGTGGCCACAGCATGAACCACAAAAATCATACATCCACTGTTTCGTTCAGAATATTCCCCCCCCCCGTTTCCCTCCTTTAAAAACTAGGTGCGTCTTACGGTCAGGTGTGTCTTATGGAGCGAAAAATACGGTACCTTAAAGCAGGAGGGTGACCAAAGAGTCAACCATTTTTGCTAGTGAGAAATTATGGTTACCTGGAGCCTGGTTTGGCCGTTCTGTGGCTGAGGAACACCAGGGTCCCTGAGCAACATTTTGCTCTTGGAAAGGGTGCTGCAGAACTTGATGGGCGGCACTTATTCTACCGTCGTTTTCCCTGAACAGTGTGCCCTGTGACATGTTCAGTAAACGTGTGCAAACTGCACTTCCGGCAGCAGTAATGATAACACCGGTGAGGTTTGTTACCCCTCAAGTGATCTCCTGGCACTGAAGCAGACGCATCCTTTCTCTCGCCACCCAGACGACCCCGACCCCGACGATGGCTTTAACTACAAGCAGATGATGGTGAGAGACGAGCGGAGGTTCAAGATGGCCGACAAGGACGGAGACCTGATTGCTACAAAGGAAGAGTTCACTGCTTTCCTGCATCCTGAAGAATATGAATACATGAAGGATATAGTTGTGCAAGTGGGTACCACGCAGGGACACATGGGTTAACTTAAGCCAGGGAGCAAGTATAACTGTATTTAAGTGACACGTTGCCACCCATATCCCACCTGCAAAAGGCTTATGAAGTAGCATTTTAATGCTACTTCTGAAATGTGTTCTGGTCAGGGTGGATAATATTAATGATTTTTTAAAAAATCAGATTTTTAAATTTATTTAAATCAGATTTTTTAAAATTTAAATCGGTTTTTTTAGATTTAAATTGGATTTTTAAAATAAAATGCTTTTGGAGGAAAAATCTTTCTAAAGATAGTTTTCTATTTAAGTTACATTCTAGTCCAAAGGCTGTTCATCAGGAAATAAGGATTTGTTTTAAGTTTCTCATGTGTGCTAAAACTCAGTCCAAGTTTTTTTTTTTTTTTAAATTGTTTAACCACATCAGTTAACAAACATGGATACATATGCCATAATGTTACTGTTTTAGTTAAATAAATTGTTATTAAGGAAATGATTATTTTTCTCCTTCCGATAAAGTACAGCAGCAAAGCTGTCCAAGTATAAACAGTGAACTTATTAAACCTCACCATAATTTCATAATTATCTTTCTATGTATTTCTAATAGTACAACCAAATCAGTCATTTTTGATTAACTGCTCTGAAAATTTATTATTCCAAAAACGAAACCTTCGTTTGGTTGCAGATATTGAGATTATACCAGCAAGAATGAGTCCTCCTGTAAAAAAATGATTTAAATCAAGTCTTACCGACTAGTGATTTAAATCGTGATTTAAATCGATTTGATTTTAATCATATCCACCCTGTTTCCGGTCAGCTTATCATTGCCACCTCTGGGTCGTATGTGGAAGGCGAGGTTTCTGAACTTGTTCTGTGGGTGGGTGGTTTGGGATGTTGACCCCTGTTCTCCCTTCTAGGGATCTCTGTATGTTCTATATTGATCCTAAGGTTCTCTTCTTGCCTGCTGGAAATCATTTCTTATGCTCGCTTCTCTTTGCTCTCTGGCAAAGAAGGGGCACCATAGGTCCCACCTGAGCTTAAGCTGCGATGCTGACGTTGGTTTTTCTCAACAGGAAACAATGGAGGACATTGACAAGAATGGGGATGGCTTCATCGACTTGGAAGAATACATAGGTGAGCCAGACATCACTTCCTTCTCCCCTCCTCCTCCTTTAGTTCAGATCCTCGTTGTCATTCCTCAAAGTTACTATTAAAATGCTGTATTTAAAATGGCTGCAGCCCACTTTTGGAATGAAGGGTGGGTAGTGAATTAAATTAAGAAATCCTCCCCATTATTATGGTAACTGTGGGAGAGGCAGTCACACCCCAGAGGAACAGGGCTGGTTATGGGTTGGCTGCCCAGTCCCTCCCAGTTTCATTAATACTGATGTGTCTTTCAAGTTTGTGTTCCTCGGCATCTTGGCAAAAGGGAAAAGATTCCTGGATAGACCATTTAAAATAAAAAGGTGCTCCCTTGTTGATACTCACCTCCCCTTACCTTGCATAATCTCATTCCCAGGCCGGCTGCTGATCCAGGTGATTTAAGAGTCATTCTTGTTATCAGCCTCACATAGCCCTATTCCGCGATAGATTTTTATTCTTTTTTTTAGTGATTGTTGCAATATTATTTATTTTTATTATCTATTGAATTTACCGTATTTTTCACACCATAGGATGCACTTTTCCCCCTTCAAAAATGAAGGGGAAATGTGTGTGCGTCCTATGGAGCGAAGACAGCATAGCCGCGCGACCCTCTGCCGGCTGGAGAGGTGACACGCAGCTATGGCAGCAGCCTCTTTAGCCGCGCGCCATCTCTCCAGCCGGGAGAGCACGTGCTGGGCTAAAGAAGCCCCCCGCGACCCTCTCCCGGCTGGAGAGGTGACCAGCAGCTATTGCAGCAGCCTCTTTAGCCGTGCGCCTTTGCGCTGCTCCCCGACCTGCTCTTTGGGGCTGGTGGTGGGCTTCCCCCTGCCAGCCCCAAAGAGCAGGTCGAAAGGAACCTGAAGCCTGGAGAGCACACCGACCCCTCTCGCTCTCCAGGCTTCCAAGGTAGCTGCCTGAAGGCGACTGAACGCACCTTAAACGGCACCTTGTTTTAGAGGGGGGAAACAAGAGGGGGGAAATTCTCCCCTTCTCTGTGCAGCGCCTCCTGCCGCTTCGCTGAAGGGGCGCTTAGCAGAGAGGGGGAGAATTTTTTTTTCTTGTTCTCCCCCCTCTAAAACAAGGTGCGTCCTATTGTCCGGTGCGTCCTTTGGTGCGAAAAATACGGTATATATGCTTTGTGGCCTCTATGTTGCATTCCGCAATAGATTTTTATTCTTTTTGTGTGATTGCTGCAATATTATTTATTTTTATTGTCTATTGAATTTATCTATTGAATTTGGGGCCTTAGGTTAAAATTTGCAACTGAGTCCAATGGACACGTGGTTCTCAAGCCTGACCCAGTGTCTGCCTGCCTGTCTCTCTGCCTCTCTCCCCCTTCGCCACAGGCGACATGTACAGCCATGACGGCGACGCCGAAGAGCCTGAGTGGGTGAAGACGGAGCGAGAGCAATTTGTAGAGTTCCGGGACAAGAACCGCGACGGGAAGATGGACAAGGAGGAGACCAAGGACTGGATCCTCCCCTCGGACTATGATCATGCCGAGGCAGAAGCACGGCACCTCGTTTACGAGTCGGATCAGAACAAGGTGAGTCTCTGTCAGGATTCAGGGAATTGGCTTCCTCCCCCATGGCCATAAATGAGCAGATCAAACGAAAGGAATTCTGAATCCCAGAAGCCAGAACAGCAACAGGGATCTGGCTTCTGGGATAGCCACGCAAAGCCTCTTCAGGGCAGCAGGATGAAGGCTCCCCCTGCCCAGAAGAGGCTGCGCGTGGCTATCCCATAAGCCAGGACAGCGAGCGGGATCACTGCGCAGCGATCCCACTTGCTTATGGGATAGCTGCGCGAAGTCTCTCCCGGGCAGCGGGATAAAGGCTCCCCCAAGAGCCGCACTCCCTTTAAAGAGTGTGCGGAGCGTGTGTGCGGGGGGTTCCCTCTTGGGGGCTTTTCCCCAAAGAGGGAGAAGGGCAGCCCTTCTCCCTCCTCAGGGAAAAGCCCCCAAGAGCTGCACACATGCTCCACGTGGCTCTTTAAAGGGAGCACTGAGCAGAGCCTCCCGCCTGCATTCGCTCCATAAGACGCACACACACATTTCCCCTTACTTTTTAGGAGGGGAAAAGTGCGTCTTACAGAGCGAAAAATATGGTAATTCAGGGGTCGGCAAGGTTTACCTCGCCAGGGCCAGTTCACTCCCGCAGAGATTGCTCTGTGGGCTGGATCGCGTCTGCACATACGCGATTTCCGGTCCAGACACGATTTCTGGTGCCATGGAAGCAAGTCTCCACTCCGCACTGCGCTGCTTTAGCGCAGCGCGCAGAGACTTGCGAAGCGTGTGGCTCAGTTTGGGGGCGACTCATGGGCCGTTTAAACGACCCACGTGGGCCATAGGTTGCTGACCCCTGAGTTTGTTTCTTTAATAAACACAGCTAAGGACAAAAGAAAGCGTCCACCCAGAACGGCAGTGCTCCCAATTAAGCTTACAACCCGTCTGTCCCTATTAATCTACGTCACTCCTACGTCTTGTAATCTGAACTTGTAGCACCCTCTGTCCTTTCTGTTCTGAAACTTTCTGAGCTCTTCTTGACCTTGGGGAGAGTGGAGGGAGGCTGTCCAGAGACTGTGGATCTGTTAACCCTCTCCCTTCCAGTGTTTCTTCTCCTAGCTGTTCCCCATCCAGTATTTCCCAGCTTCTGCCTTCTGAACTATGCCCCTCTGCAAGCCACTGTTCTAAATCTATACTGTCCTCCTGCTCCTGAGAAGATGCAGGAGCAGGGGGAAGGGGGTGGCTCCTACCATTCTTCCTCAGTGCAGCCCTCCTCAGCACGGTCCCAGACAGGCTCCCTTTTGCAGAGCGACTGGCTTTGTAATTCCACATCACTGGGTGTCGTTGAGGCCCAGGTGCCGAGAGGCCTGTCTCAGCAGATCCCAGGGGACCAGGCCGCAGTTCCTAGGAAGCTGCCTTGTTCTGACTCATTCCATTGGTCCTTCCAGCTCAGTACTGTCTGCATGGACTGACACACATTCTGCAGGATTTTAGACAGGGTTCCTCCCAGCCCTACCTGGAGTTGCCAGGGATGGAAGCTCATATCTCCTCCTTTGAGAAAATCCCAGCCCTGTCTTGTACACTTCGTACTGTATACCTGTTGGGCCAGGGACCTGTTCCTTCCCTGCTCTGTATGTCAACTATCAGGCTGCTGCAGCTAAATAGAAACCAAGTCCTCTGAGACATTTTCCTGATCAGCTCTGGTTGAAATGAATGGAAGCCACACAAGAGCTTCCATTTATTTTGACAGGGTTTGCTTGTGGGACTGTCTTGGGCGATTGTCCCTCTTAAACATTCATTAGGACTCATTAGGAATAGTTGCCAAAGCGCCTGAGTTCTCCTTTTGTTCTTTAGGATGGCAAACTCAGCAAAGAAGAAATTGTGGACAAGTACGACTTGTTTGTGGGCAGCCAGGCTACGGACTTTGGGGAAGCCTTAGTACGACACGACGAGTTCTAAGCCAGAGAGGAGGAAAGGAGGAAGAAAGTAATTTATTTTTTACAGTTTCCGGAATAACACGAAGAACTCTCTCTCACTACTGAGACTGGCAGTTTCAGGCAACAACGTGGAAAAAACGAGAATAAGCCTCTCCCGTCCTTCCTTTGCTACTTGTTCCCGTGGGGACGGGAGCTCAGTGTTTTGACAAGCAACTTTTAACTTGCAACAAATGGGTTGTTTTGTTTTATAGATTTGCATTTTTGGATTTAATTTTTTTTTGTCTAATAAGTTCTGTTTTATTTTTGTATTTTATTTTTGGTCCCGTGTGAGATGAAGAATGCATATCCTGAAACATTAGCCCTAGAGCAACACTAGCTCCCCCTAACTGACCTCCCCCTGTGAGTGTGTGTGTGCCTAGCTACAAAATCCAATCGCAAAATGCCAGAGAACAAGGAGGGCCATGTAAAAACGCACGAGAAAGCTTCCGTGTTCTAGTTTCTTCCCCCTATTACTGTTTTGAACTGGGGTGATTGCCTCCAGCCCATTTCAAAGGGCCTAGCAGAGAATTTCAACAGCAGATGCTTCCAGTTCAACCTACTACTGTTACCCTCTTCAGTGAAAGAGGATTTTCCCACAATGCACCTCCCGCACCTGAGTTAGGAAGGTTTGCCGAAGGCTGTACGTTATGGCACCCTTCAACAAGAGGAGTTGTGGCATCCTTGCTTCGCCCCAAGTATTAATTCCTGGTGTTTCTGCTGCCCCCAGGAGCTGGGATCATCCAGCCCCCTTGCAGATGGGGTAGAGGACTTTGGCCAGTGCTGCTACAACCTTCCATTCAGGGCATTCTCTCCCTCCCCCCCGACTTGGTTATGATAGCCAAATCATCTCCACCTTTTATCTTCCTGGTTCAGTTTGCTGCTTGCCTGGGCCTGCCTCTGCTTAGAGCAGTGAGCAGCTGGTGCCTTAAGTGGGCGAATGCCGTACGGGCGTCAAGCAGGCCAGGAGAATAATGTGGCAGTCGGATGCACATGGAAGTCCTTCATTTTTGAAGTGCCTTTGCCTTTTCTTTTTTAAAATCAGGCTTCCCTGCCAAAAAGGAACCCCGGTGCGAAAACGTGCGCCTAAAAGTAGAGAGGGAATCTGTGCCCTTTATGCAAAATGCATGGCAAATTCAGCAGCAGTGTGCAGTATTAAAGACCTTCCCCAAGCAGTGTTCTGATCTCCCGGTGGGCTTCCAAGCCCCCAGCTGCCTAGTCTGCCTGGGCGAGGGCCTTCTCCTTACCTCAAAAAAGGCAAACCACACGCCCTCTCTTCTTCCTCTCGGGTCCCAGGGTGCAACGTAGGATCTCGGCCTTTTGAAGCCGACGCTCTCAAGTTCCCATTCTAGGACCAGTTTGCTCTTGCAGGTTTTCTGGGTCCAGCCCACCAGGAATGGCTCCCCCCGCAAGCCCATTGAATGAGAACATGATCAGTGCTCAGCACGACTGCTGGGACCTGGTTCCAGGGTTTCAGGCCTGTCTTCCTCAGCCTGCTACTCTCCAAAGGTTTTGCGTGACGGTCTCCGAGCTTTTTATCCAAAATGTCTGGAGGGCAGCAGGCTAAGATAGGCTGCTTTGATGCGCTTAAGACACCTCTCCCTGCAAGCCTCTTGAACACTAAAGGCCAGTCTCTCCCTACAGCCTGCACTAAATAACTGTCGTAATCGTGAGTGGTTTGGTACAGTTCCCCAAATTTCCTTTGAGCCAGGGCAGCTCCAAGGGCAGAAATCTTCAAAGCACTACCCACACCTGTCAATTCCAACTAACCTCTTCCTTTTAGTTAATAAACTTGGTGCCGGGAACAGGAAAGCAATGCTCGTGAAACCAGGCGTTGAAAGAATCCAGGATTTCGTAAGATCAGTGCGCCGTGAGCCCGGGCTTCCGCTCATAACGAAACGGCAGGGCATTCCTCGTTTCCCAGTTTCAGAAAAGGAGGTGCATCCTGGTCGAGCAAGGTGCCAGACGGTGGGAGAACGAAACACCCATGTAGAGGACCTCAGCCCCATTTACTTTGCCACAGAGAATGGAGAGGGGCGGCGAGTTAATGAAACATGGCTTCTCTTTGCCCAGATGTGAAGACTTGAGTGGGGAAAGGGAGCTGTTGCCATTGTCGGCTTCCCAGCTTCTTTGTTGAACACTAACGAAGGTGCACCAGCACCACAATTGCATTTTCCTTCCCACGCTTGCATTTTTTCACTCTGAAGCAAAAGCCCCCCCCTCCCCCCTGTAGCCTATGTCCCACCGCCACCCCTGGAAATTCTGCCCTGCAGATTTGGCAGCGAGGAGAGGGGGTGTCTGCTTGTGTGCGCATGCAGCCTAGCTGGCCCTGTTGGCGTGAGCGATATCGGGAGCAGGTACCTTCGGAGACAAAAGCCCGCGATCCTGCTTTTTAGCACTGATGAGCCAAAGTTTCAGGGGTGCTGCTGTGCAGATGTGTGCTGTAAAAAAAAAAAATCCCCACTGCAGGAAAAAAAAATGGTCAAAGCAGAATTCTGTCTTAAGTCGGGGCTTTCTGCCACGTGTATCTTGATTTTTATACTCCGCCGTGTTACCTCCTTGCACAATCTTTATTATCAAAGCAGATATGAACCTGGTGGCCACAGAAACTTGTTACTCGCATGCCCCAAAGCTCTTCATGGTACACCTTTTTAGGAGACGACTTTTTTTTTTTTGGGTAGAGTGTAAATGGAGTTTTATATAATGTACAACAACATAAAGATGGTGTCTTAATAAAAACTGTTTACATCCCTCGCGGCTCTGTATCTTTGCTCGTGCTGTCGTGTGGGCTTCGAGAGTCTTCCCTCCTTTGCTTACGAACTCTGGCCTGCGATTCAGCCCCAAGGCCTCCTCTCGCTCGAAATCCCTCCCAGCGTGGCATCGAGTGGCACCTCCAGGAAGGTGACAAAACGGGGCTTGAAGAACCACATCTGTGTTGTTCATCTCCCAACTACAAGATGTTCTCTCTAACTAGCATGGTTCCTGGTGGTTGACAGACCCCCTCTTCTTTAAACACAACTAAAAAGGTAAAGGGACCCCTGACCATTAGGTCCAGTCATGACCGACTCCGGGGTTGTGGCGCTCATCTCGCTTTATTGGCTGAGGGAGCCGGTGTACAGCTTCCGGGTCATGTGGCCAGCATGACTAAGCCGCTTCTGGCGAACCAGAGCAGCGCACGGAAACGCCGTTTACCTTCCCGCCAGAGCGGTACCTATTTATCTACTTGCACTCTGACATGCTTTCGAACTGCTAGGTTGGCAGGAGCAGGGACCGAGCAACGGGAGCTCACCCCGTCACAGGGATTCGAACCACCGACCTTCTGATCGGCAAGTCCTAGGCTCTGGTTTAACCCACAGCGCCACCAGCATCCCTGAGAGTTCGCATGATAGACCTATATAAAAAGAAAGGACCCCTGGACGGTTGAGTTCAGTCAAAGGCAACTATGGGGTTGCGGTGATCCTCTCGCTTTCAGGCCTAGGGAGCCGGCGTTTGTCCACAGACAGCTTTCCAGGTCATGACTAAACCACTTCTGGTGCAATGAAACAAACACCGTGATGGAAACCAGAGCGCACGGAAACGCCGTTTACCTTCCCATTGCAGCGGTACCTATTTATCTACTTGTGCTGGTGTGCTTTCAAACTGCTAGGTTGGCAGGGGCAGGGACAAAGCAATGGGAGCTCACTCCGTCACTGGGATCCGAACCGCTGACCTTCCAGTCAGCAAGCCCAAGAGGCTCAGTGTTTTAGACCACAGTGCCACCCGCGTCCCTAGACCTGTATAAAATTACACCTGGCAGGGAGAAAACAGAGAAATGTTTCTCGTAACACCAGAATTTGTGGACGTCCAATGAAGCTGAACGTTCAGGAAAGATGAAAGGAAGTTCCTCTTCGTTAAACTCTGGAACTCCCTCCCACTAGAGGTCCACCAACCTATGTGGCTTTAAAAGAGGATTGGGCAATTCATGGAGGGATGGTGACCACTAACCCTGGTGTCTATGCTCTGCAGCAATGCTTCTGAATCCCAGTCGCTGGAAACCGCAGGAGGAGAGAGGGGTCCTGTGTTCGAATCCTGCCTGCTGGTTTCCCATTGGGCATCTGCTTGGCCAATGTGAGAACAGGGTGCTGGACTAGCTGGGACGATGCGTACCTTACACAGCCCTGTGTTTAGAGGGAGGCCAACATAAGATATCACCTTGCCAACAAAGGTCAGTCTAGTTCAAGCTATGGTTTTCCCAGTAGTGATGTATGGAAGTGAGAGCTGGACCATAAAGAAGGCTGATCGCCGAAGAATTGATGCTTTTGAATTCTGGTGCTGGAGGAGACTCTTGAGAGTCCCATGGATTGCAAGAAGATCAAACCTCTCCATTCTGAAGGAAATCAGCCCTGAGTGCTCACTGGAAGGACAGATCCTGAAGCTGAGGCTCCAAGACTTTGGCCACCTCATGAGAAGAGAAGGCTCCCTGGAAAAGACCCTGATGTTGGGAAAGATGGAGGGCACAAGGAGAAGGGGACGACAGAGGACGAGATGGTGGGACAGTGTTCTCGAAGCTACCAGCATGAGTTTGCCCAAACTGCAGGAGGCAGTGGTAGACAGGAGTGCCTGGCGTGCTCTGGTCCAGGGGGTCACGAAGAGTCGGACATGACTAAACGACTAAACAACAACATAAGCTAGAGACAGTTGCCTGGACGAGTTTTCTTTTATGCTGGCCAAACATTTGGTTTTCATCAGACAAAGATACCTTACTCAGCGAAGTTTTGTCGGACTCCTTCCCTTCCCCAGGGCTACAACTCTTTTGCACAAAGATACAGCAACTCAGGCTTTCAGAGGATCTCCTGGGCGCTGTGGCTCTCCCAGTTGCCAAGACCATGTTAAAAACTAGGCTGTGGGACATAGAATGCCAGGGACTAATCTCAGCTGCGGAAAAAACATGCTCCCCTCTTTATTTTCGACTCTTTTGGGAGCAGGAATTTACCGGTAATCTTAATT